TGAAAAGACTTCCATGTAATGAAAGCAAGATGGAGGACTCAGAAGTTTCTGTTAATTTAGGCCAAGTTCTGTGATTCCTCATTGAAATGTGGATTTTAATCTTTCAACCCTCTCCTGGAATTGCTTATGTTGGATTCAAGCTCTGTGAGTTAAAAAAATGGAAGCAGTGAAATAGTTTAAAAAATAAACTTTCTCTTGAATTAGCTGATGAAATAAAAAACCCACAGTAACTGTATAACTGTAAAAAAACCCCAAAATTTATTATTCCATCTTGCAACTTAAGAAAATTATCTAAGATTTTTTTTTTAATTGGAAGAGTACTGTAAAATGTACTACATGATTTTTAAAGAACCAGGGCAAAAATAGACAAATATGAAACAGTAAAGATTTGTAAATACATTAGCATTGCTGTTATTTTAAATTTACTTGATATACATCTCTTTTTTTTTTTATCCCAGGGCCTCCAACATGCCTAAAGAGTAACACCGATTTATAGTCACTTGCAGATTAGAGGACAAGAACAGACAGGAGCAAAACCTCCTGCACAGCAGTGACACCATGATATCTCCTGTAAACCTGCTGTAAAAATGTCAGCCTATTTTTAATATGACCAGTCAGAACCTTAATCTGGAAGTTATTTTGCATTATGAGAGTTTTACCTCAGCATTCTGGCAATGTTATTGTTGTCAGTGAGGACACAGTACTGCTCTCAGGCCGTAACATCGGGCAAGTGATGTCTGAGACTGTATCCCACAGGGCTCTGTCTCCTACATTCTAATATTGAAATTATGTTAGGTTAAAGACCAAGCAATGACCTCTGAGCAGTTTTAAAAATCCAAGAAGTTTATAGTTGTATTTGATTTGGTATTTCCTCTGCCCCAACCCCATTACATATAGACGGTCCCCAAGTGCAGTTTTGGTTTTGACAGCAAATTTCAACTATAGTGCTTGCCTGCCTCTTGTCTCCACACGGTGAGATCACAAGAGATTATACCAGAAAACCTTGTATCCACTGTATCATTAAACTTCAATTTTTGTTGTTTTCTCAAACAAAAATGGTGATATTTTCAAGTGTGAAGTTTAAGGTAATTAAGCAATGGGGATCCTTAATGAAAGGAGCTGACTGCAGAGTTCACTGGAGGACTGATACTTCAGAAGGTAGGTTGAGAAATTGGAAAAAGTGGTCAAAAAATTTTTTTCCCATGATTTACAGGAAAAGACTTTTATCCTAACAAATGGATTCTGAATGTGTTACTGGACAGTCTGTGATAGATCAATCTCTTGGGAAAGAAACATTTGAGCAACTGCTTATTTTCTTGATCAGCACTGGTGCTGATGGCCTATGGTAAAAGTGTATTTGTAAAAGGGTCACAGATAGTACCTGTACCTGTCAGGTCTAACACCACCAGCAAGTCACAGACAGTCAATTCAGTGATTTGTTTTACAGCAGTACTGCACTTTTAAGGTGAACTCCTGACTGTGTTAATTTATTTCATATTAGTTAGGCTCTGAGCACTCTTCTATTACATATAATTTAGTCTTTAGAATAAAACTCAAGACTCAAGTTCAAATCTAAATATTATTTAAATTGGCATTAGATTTTTGACTACTGCATGTGGCACATTCCGACAAGCCCTTTCAGCTTACACCTAACATAGACATATCAGTAGCAAGATCTTGAAACATGCAGAGCTCTTTCAATACCCTGACATGGTTCCCTTGCTACAAAGGGCCAAGTGCCCTGTGTACCTTTGCACTTACTGTTGATCCTCAGTCCCTAATTCATCCTTGCAACTCTCAGCTTCTCTTTCATCATTCATCAAGACTTCTGGTTCAAAATCTTCTCCAGTCTTTTGACTTCCATCTCCCTATTTTAATTTCTTCTTTTTCTTATCCTTTTTTAAGTTGTCCTTTCTCTCATTTTACATATTTTTCTATGGTGAGAGCTAAATCTTTTGTCTCCTGCTGAATTTCAAGAAGAGAAATCGGAGGTCCTGAGGTGACTGATCAGGCATCTGTGTGGTGAAAGAACCAGAAGCTGCTCAGAGCAGACCGCAGAACAATTCACCTTGGGCATAGCATTGCAGTACCCTGTATAAAGAGATTGAAGCAACTTTCAGATGGGAATGCTCTGGCAAGATGAGCTTTCAGATCCTGGGATAACTGCAAGGGAGACTCCAAAGGCATATGGACCTTCCAGAGCTGATCCAGGGCCCTTGTCCCTGGGATCTTCAGATAAATCCAATAAGGACATGCTGAGAGACCACTTTATTGATTTTCCCTACTACATCCAGGTAAAGATATTGATTTTTTTTATGCATATCTCTCAGGGAAGAGTGGCTTCTGGTGATGTTAAAGCACTGGGTGCAGTGGTGTGAAAAAGTGACACCTATCTCTGGTTTGATAGCATGGGTTGATATGCTTTTTGAAATCAATTCCTTTAGGACCTTGAGCTGTGACAGAAATCTTCCTGTAGCAGCTCCCTGTTCAACTTTCACTGTGTGGGATACCCAGTTCTAGTGCCCAAGGGAGCCAGATGCGGAGAACACCAAGTTGACAGTTCTCTATTTCTTATGGTCCTAGTCGAGATACTGTTTGGTGCTCTAATGGAAAAAGGCATGAGAACACCTTGGATTCTTGCATATTTTTGTGTGGAGAAGGAATAGTTCCTGGAACGGTAGAGGTCCAGCTGTGAGGACACTCTGGAGTAAGGTGACCGATGGCACATTATTAGGCTGGAACAACACTGCCACTCCCTGAGTAGTGTTTCAAACAAAAGCTGAAGGCTGTATGATGAAAATGAGAGCATTTAATCTCTCCTTTGTCCTGTCACTTCTTCCTTAAGAAAACAGCTGCAGGCTCTCATCCCTATCCCACCCACCCTAGCAGCATAAAGCAGTCAGAGGTGTCAACTTTTCAGCAATCAAGAGCTACGGAGCTGGTGGCAAAGCCTTAGAAGGGAGGAAAAAACCCTACTCTTCAGATTCTGGAAGAAGAAATCAAACCCACCAGCTCTGACACAGGAAAGGTGATGCTGTCCTAAAGATCATATTATATCTCAGCAGCCTGCACTCAATTTCGTAAGCTGAGAGGTTCTTTGTGTGGTAGACCACAAGAAAAGCCACTTCAGTATTAGAAAAAAAACACTTTGCAGCTATATTTCCTCAACGTTTTCCACTAGGATAAGTGTATATTCATTCCAGATGATCTCCCTGCAGGATTAAGTCTAATGTTTCCCTCTGTGATGTCTTGTAGTACACATTGTTATGCAGACATCTCACTCATTAGTGTCCCTTGGAAGCAGTGTGAAGAACGCTGATCTGTATAAATTCTTGGTACCAAGTTTCTGTCCCTTGAAGCACTCCTATTGCACAGAACCACCACTGCAGACAGCAGCATTCAGATCTAATGCAGTTTGAGCACCCAGAACAAGGAACAAATCACCTGTTGCTGATGATTGTACAGCAGCAGGAGCTCTTGCTGTGGATGTCAAACAATGGTTCTGAAGCATGTAAATCCATCTTCCCTGTTCTTCAGTGCTGAAAGAGTATTGAGGGGGAAAAAGTAGTTTTCGTTTGGTTTTTTGGTTGTCTTTTTTGGGGGAGGGGTTGTTTGGTTGGTTGATTGGTTTGTTTTGTTTTTAATTGTAGGACTTGAATTCCGAAGTGTTATATGCTATCCTTTGTCAAGGGTTAGTTAAACTGTAAGCAGCAAGGGAGTATTCTCATACCCTGTAGTCGCACTCCCATAATACTGGGTGTCAGACGGAGCACACATTTGTTTAACAACCCAGTTCCAGGCAAGTGAGCTGGGGTGGGTGGGGCTGGAATGCCAATACTTCCTGGTTTTAACTTCTCCTATGTGTGCTGCATAATTCAGTAGTTACCTGAAAAGGAGAGGCAGGACCTCAAACATTCTCACTATTTGAGGTACCATGATCTGAAAGAGGGACATGTGTGACCACAACATACAAAGGAATGCTCAGCAGTGTGAACCTTCAAGTAGCAGTTATTCAAGATGGAGGTATCTTTTTATAATAAAACAAAGCACTGCTATTTATCACTCTGCTGATAAATGACTTTTAAAAAGGATTATAAAGCCTCATGGTTCTCTAATATTTAAAATTCAACTCCTCTGCTGAATTTTTCTTTTCTGGATAAACCCTCCCCAGTATCAGAGGTCTAAAGTAATTTGCTAGTAGAAAGGTGGTTGTATAACAGCTTTTACTTGTTCTAATTTTAGCTTTCTGAAATTTGTGTCCATTTAAATCAACTTTTCCTAACAATAGTACCAATATGGCTTTTATGTTTTAGTGTTGTTAGCATGATTGTATCCATTTAATTAGTCCCCTGTTAACTGAATGACTCATACTGATCTGTTTGCATCGTTGCTGGCTGACTGCTTTTTATAAGACTAAACAGAGGCTTTTCAATTTTAAAAGGTGGTCCTAAGAACCCAGTTACACTGCTTCAATTGTCTCTTTGAACAGTCTGTGTGATTTTTAACTTATGTTTTTATTTCACAAGTTCAATACATACATCTATATTTATGTATAAACATTGAAAAAATTAAAGGGAAATAGTCTTAATACAGCTAAATTGTAAATGTAAGTTAAACACAGAAATGAATGACATGGGGCAAAAGTGCCACTGTACTTTATTAGCAGTACAGTTTGTAGTTGCCTTGAGACTTAGATGTACATTACAATTTGTATCTTAATATTCCTTCTTTAAAGGGAGAAAGAGTAGCCTGTCTCACATCTATATTTGGTGCAGAGTGCATACTCCACTGTGCTAACACACCACATCAGGAAGGAATTTCAAATGCTCCCAAGGAATTTAGCAACAAAAGTCCTGTTGGCTTTCCTTACATGCATGGGCAAGGGAGCATACTAATTTTTTGTAATAAACTGTTCTCTTTCTGCTGCTGCTGCTGTTGCTGGAGCCTGAAAAACGGACTAATGAAATCTCTTATGTCTCTTCGCCCTCCTGACGGAGTTGAATACACTGGGCCACCGTCTTCTCTGTTGACAAGCTGACTGATATGTGTGCCACCTGAGAGCTGTTAGAACAGCTTCACTTTTGCATTCATCAGAGTAGAGCTCCATAGGCATTTGTTTTGGACAACACCCAGTGAGGCAGAAATGTTGAGCTTTGCCGGGGGTGATGATGGGGTAAGTCTGTTCTCCAGCTGATTCTGAGAAAACCTAAGTGGAGAGTCTCCATAGACTTAAGAGGATATGCTTGTGTCTTCACTTGGGATCTGAGAGAGAATGAGATGTGATCACTTTGCACTTCACACCTGTGTACTGTTTTCTGTTTTGTTTAATTTCTTCACCCCATTCAACAGTTCAACTTTTCACTATTTTTATTTTGCCATCATATTTACATTTGAATAGTCATCAAGTCACTTCTAACAGTCTTTTCAGTAGCTGTCACTTTAAGGAAAAGTGTAAATTCCTCTTTATCTTATATGTAAGCCAGGTGAAGAACAGGAAGACAATTTTTTAAGTAACAGATGCTAGAAAGAATGGTCGTTGTTTATATAACATTTAGAAGCTGGAGTTCTAAATTTAAAGCTTATATGAGCTTTCTTAAAATTAGAGTTGAGGCTGAAGCAATATAACATTTGGTTGGTAAGCCCTAGTTAAATTTGGTGGATCTTTTTCTATCATTTGATAAATAGTAAAGATTTAGGTACTATTTTGACAAGTGTTAGGTACAAATACCATACATACTTGGTGGAAATCCTGTAAGACCCAAAAAAAAAGGGATATAGGGAAGAGAATGCTTTGGGATGAAAGAGTGGGACCTGAAAAATTAATGACCAGTGGACTGAAATGTTTCAGTTGTCATTGCTTCCCAGGTTGATTTACTGTGTGCATTTTTTTAAATGTTGTTGTCCTTGTAAGCAAACAAATTGTGAATTTGCTGTTACCATTGCACTGAATTTGCAATATTAAGCTGTTTGCCAGTTCCTTGATCTCCGATACACTGCTGATTTTACAGTTAGAAGTGTTGTTTCATTTTTCTTTCACAAAGACATATTCAGTGTGACAGGGATAAACCAGGGAGAAACTTTTGGTATTTTCTTAGCTTTGTGTGATGATGCTTTTTGGGTAGCTTTTTCTCCTCCTGCTGTTTCTTAGTGTGATATAAAAGTGTCTTCAGGATTGGTGATGAAGGAGCAAGAGTAGAAGGGTTTTTGTTAGAGAGATGCACAAGTAAAATGGGAAGATACAAGCTGCAATTCTTCCAGATTAATTTCATTCTAAACATAGAAATATAGTGAACTATCAAACAGTACTCCAGGTAATATGGAACATGGTTTGTTTTCACAATTTTTTCTAGGGGAAAGGAGGGTGTCTTTTACCCCCTGGGCACTTTTTCACAGCTGTTTCCTAACCCTTTACTGGGACTTTTGAGCCTTCTCTTTCCATGGTGGCAAGGAGAGCGCAACCCCCTTTCAGAGCCAGCAGGGTCCTGGGCTACTTTTGCGCCACCTTTTCTTAAGCTCCTGTGCTCTTAGCTGACAGGGAAATGCTTTCTGCCTGTGCTGAAGCTGTTACTTACCTGAAGTTAATCTCATTTACCCTGGCTGGCCCTTTCCCTCCCTCTCACAGCCAGTAACCCCCCACTTTTGGGAGCAAGGATTGCTTCTTCCCCACTTGCTGCACCTGTCCTGTCTCAGCAACTTGGGCAGCAGAGACCCCTCACTGCCGGATGGGGAGCCAGTCCTGCCTGGGCGCCCTTCACCCCTGGGTGTCCAGGTTTGTGGGAGGGCAGACTTTCCTCAGTTCAGCCAGTCTCCCAGTTTCAGGGCCCTGCTGGGCTGTGGAGCAGCTCATGCTGGTCCTTGCCCTGCCTCTGGGTGTGGGAAGTTAGTTTGTGCCCAGTTTGTCCTGAGTCTCTGGCCCTCACTAAAAAAGGAATGTCTGCAAGGGCTGCAGTTTCCTTCTGTTTTCTGTCAGCCTTCTCTCTAGGGCAGTTATCTGCAAGTGCTTCTTTCTAACTCAGTGTTGAGAAAGAGGCAGTGTTGCAAGTTAATGTTCCCCAAAGGCCATTTACATACTTTCTGACTTCTGGGAGAAGGTGTTTCTGTTTCCCACATTTCTACCCTGACTGCTGCTGGTATAGTTTTTATCATTCTTTGTTTGGGGTGTAGGAAAACCTGGTTAGAATTTCAACCTGTTTGATAGCCTAGAAATTTATTCAACTAGTGTAGGGTAAAGAGAAGCCTCTTCCAGGAGAAATATCTACCTCGTGCTCAACCCTCACACTTGATGTGACCTCCATGTCTGCTTTAGGAACTTGGGGGAACTTGCAAGACTTCTTGCTTTCATGCCCTCATTCCTGATGATACCTGAAAATGGTGCCTACTCAAGAAGTAGGATGGTAGGAACCAGTAAAAAGCAGCAAGCGTAGATTTAGAGAGACTGACAGGGGTTCAGGGTGGGGCTCCCAGAGTAAAGCAGTGTTTGTATATCTTTTTCCAAGCCATGTGAAACCTGTCAGTTTGAGGGATTCTTCCTTCCTCTGTCCTCCTTCCCTTTTTTGCTATGCACCCTGTTCTCCCAAATGTGAGACAAGGAAGGAAGAGAAGATCTGCTACATTTACAAAGCAGTCAAAGTGAAGGACCTTGTGTCTTTGAGGCTTCAGAGAGTGAACTTTGTCTCTCCCAGAGCCATTTTCATAGTACACCAGCTGCTCCAAAGCTCTTAACAGAAAGCAACTTGTCTCCAAGAAGGACAGGCCCTTTTCCTATGCATTGCTATCTAAACTATGATTACCACACTTCCCCTGCTACACATGAGAAAAACACCTTATGTGTTTCTCACGAGGTGGATAAAGCACAGTCCATGTTGACAATGAAGTGAATTTTATCACATTTACCTCTCAAATCCTTTTTACATACAGTTGTTTCAGCTAATACCTGACACTCCAGAAACTGGATCTTTTTCTCTGTTTTCCTGAGATTGTTTCCTTTGTTCAGTTTCATTGTTTCCTATGGACAGCTGGTGAACTCATTTCTTCTTGTCATTCTTACTCTCCTCTTTCACACAGCAGTAGCAAAGGGAAGATATTTCTCCCTCCTGATGCAGATAGCCTGCCTGTTTCTGGGTGCTACCAGGATTGTTGGTTGGTTGTTTCAGACAGAGGAAAAGATGACAGATAGGTAAGTAAACAAGACTGAAAAAGGCATGCTTGTTAAATTTTGTTTCCCTAGGCACAGCTGAAACGTCTCATCATGCAGCACCAAAATTCTCAGCTTTTTCTCCCACAGTTGGGCTCTAAGATCTGTTTTGATACCTTGATACCTTTTCTCTGCCTGCTACTATGATGTTTCCCCATCCCTATCTTGTATGCTTAGCATATGCCAAATAAATACAATAACCATGCATTTGTTATCAGATCTTCTGAATCACTTGGCTCAGTTGCTGCCAAACTTGCTTACAGTCAACTTCTTGAGTGTGGCATTTTTCCCTTATTTCCAGATGTCAGCACTATGAAAAATGATACCTCATTTACTTGAGTGAAAAGCAGCTCTTGTGTCTAGCTATCCTAATGAGATGATGGATTGGCCCAACTTGTGCCATGAAAAAGTGCACTTAGAATGTGCTTCTGAGAGAATCAAGACTTAAGGACATAGTACCAAAATTGGTTTCTAACTTCTTTTGTAAGCGTAACAAGAAGTCTGGCTGGTTTTTCCTAATTGGTTTTTCCAACAGCCAAGTTCTGTTTGTCCTCAGTCCTGCCTGCAGGGTGAAAAATTGAAAGTTGCTTGTCTTCTGGAATGTTTTTTTGAAAGCTCGAGTATTTAGCAGGTTTTGTACAATGGATCTGTCTTCCATTCAAACCAAAATAGGGCTCTCTTATGTTTCAATTTTGAAGTTTTCTTTAGGACTTCCATCTCCTAGTTTTTGTGTTGGGATTAAGTACCAAACATTTCATTCTGCCACACCTATTACATGAATACACACATGAGTCTCAAGAAAATCCATATAGTGTTTCACTGGCAGGGTATCTGGGCCTTTTACAGGTGTTGCAAAGAGTTTCAGAAAACTATGTGATATTTGTTCCTTTGTTGGCAATTTGAGGGTTCATGGTTCTGTTTTGGCACAAGGGATGGGTTCTGCTTTGCCAAGCCCATTTTGTTCAGCACAGACCACTGTAAAGTGCTTCTGTATATCCTGTTTGAAAGTCGTGGTTTGAAGTGGTGCTCAGATTAAGATTATAATCTGCCAACTGGAGCAGGGGAGAAATGAACAAACAAAAAAATCCCAGACACATCTGTTGAAATTCCATGAAATAACCTTAAGTTTCTTCTAGTCCAAAATATTTTAGAATTTGCTTCCAGATCTTGGCTCCATTGCAGGTGTGCATGTTCTTGTTTGCAATTAGCAAGTATAGTTTATATAAAAATGTCTCTAAATGTCACATATTTTTAAACAAATCAAACAAGCAGATGCTTAGGGGAGAGTTATGCATGTAGTTTCTTGAGTGGAACTGTGTTTCCAGAGAGACCTGCAAGCCTAAACAACAGTGTCACTTTCTCAGCTGTTCTGTGGAAGGAAACCCAGCAGCTGCTGTTTCATAGTATGGGTACTTGTGGCATGCTCTGGGTTAATGGCAATAGAATTAATATGCCAAATCAATACTGTAATCTAAACATGTCTAATAATTCCCTCCACTGAATAAAAACCTTAAGTGGAGTTTAAGCAACTATTAGAGAGGTCTTCCTTATGCTCACTTAGAATAAAATGAAGACAGTAGAAACAATTTAGGATTAAATTGAAAAGCAGGTAAATTATCTTAATCCTACACAGGAATAAAACACTGCTTAAGAATTCAGACAAAGTACTTGGTTTCCTTCTCTGGTTGTTATGGTCACTATCCCTTTAAATATTTTTGGATTAAAAATCCCCTGATTTGATTTAACATTTGATGAATGTATACATGCTCATCCTGTTTAAATACTTTGATTCAGCGGAAGAATTATATTGAGCATATATTTCAGTAACTAACAAGCAAGAAAATATTTTACGTGTAGAATGTGAAAATGGAGATGGTATAGTTTCGTGTTTTGAAACCTGATAACACTGGGTTTGTCTGTATGGAATCAATAGTGATTTTTTTTTCTACCTCTTTTAATTTGAGAACTTCTTTTCCTTTGTTTAGCTGGTGTCAGGTGGTGTCCAAGGAAGAAGCCCTTCGCACTTCAGAGGGTGACAAAAAAGAACAGACAGCTTAATGCTACCAAACTAGGGGTGTGTCAAATCTCTCTCAAGAATGATAAACTCAATGGAGTTGTCTATTTTTAACCTCCCGTTCTTTCCTTTTGGCAGACTAATCAGTGTTAGCTGAGCTGTTTCACTGAATGAATCCAAGCGACTCTGGTGCTTTCTGAAATGAACAGTGGACCTTGCAAGAGCATTTCAAGTCTGCTTTAGTGTATGAAGTCCCATTGTCAAAGACAATGTCAGATGAAGCCAGTTCAGAACAGAAACCTTCTACAACCACGGTCAGTTCAGTTGCTGTTCAGGCTGGGGATGCCAGTATTGTCATAGCTGTGCTTAAGGTAAGGCAGCAACTGCTGGTATGTCTGTTCTTGTCTTTCTGCTACTTGTTGATTAGTACTTCTTTTAAAGGTTCTGTGCAAATGAATAGTTAGCATAAAATGATAAGGCAAGGCCACTTAATCAGTCAATATCAAATAGAGCTTTCTTGGAAGTTAACACTTGTTTCTGTTCACAATTACTCCTTGTGAGTTTTCGTTTTTTTTCAAATAGAATAAACAATTTGGCCAAAATATCTAGGCTCTTGGGGGCAAGGAGTTCCTCCTACTCTGTTTAAAAGGTAAGAGATAAATGAAGAGTGCCATGAAAATGTGTTAATAAGCGTGATGATTGCAGTTGAGACTCCTTGAGTTATTTTAAACTGTACTCAGCAATAATTTTACATAAATGGTCTACCAACTCCACAAATGAAGTATTTGCTGGGAAAAAATAAGTGGTTATTTTTGAAAGCTGTAAATTCATATTCCCATGTGTTTCAGTAGAAACCCTTACGTGCGTATAGTTGTGCTTATAAGCACCTAAAGGCCTGTTTTGTGAGCTGGAGTGCACGCCTACAGCTTACACAAAATTTGGCATGGGGAGTAAAGCTGGATGCTGGTAATGAATCCCAGCTGGAATTTATTGGCAGTTTGATTTTTCATTCTCTAGGCAACCTGGGAAACACGCTAGCCTCAGCAACTAGAGTTTGTCTGTAATGCAGAATAAGGTGATAATGAGTTAGACTGTGAGGTTATTATTCAGGATGGGAGTACCTCAGCTGTGGGAATGCTTTTTCCTGTCAGTTTTCACCCTTCCTGTGAGGTGGTCCACTGCTACAGAGGAGTAATTTCATGGCAAGGAGACTCAAGTTTAGGTGAAGTAATTTATTTTTCCCCTCTGTGCTGTAGAACCATGCTGGCTTCCAGTGACAGCACTGCTTTGGTTCTTATCACCATCCTTTGGTTCCTGTTCTAAAGGCTGTTAAGTGTCACTGCTTCTACTTCTGCAATCTCTTGATATATATATATCCAGTATAGATGTACTTTAAACCTATGTGGTAGAAATAAGATTTGGGGTGATGGTTTTTGCATCTGCTGTGATATATTTGTACCTTCCGCCCACTCCACCCACCCACCAAGTTTCCTTAACTATCTGTGTCATCTTCAGCTGAAAGGGGAGATGAGTTGGAGAAATGTTTTTGGTTCATTGTGATAATTTTACTCTTCATGGGCAAAACTAAAATCATAGCACTGATTGGGTAACACTAGAGTGTGGGATTTTGTTACCTGTTTCAAAAGAAATTAAGTTTATACTGTGTTCTGTGTGTCTTTGTCATGTGTATGGCCCCTGAGAGCTGAGAGTCTGTGTGAATAAATAAATGAAAGAAATCTTGTGTTTTCTGAAGGCTGTATTACTTATTACAGTGTGGAAAATGGGTGAAGCTTCAGCTGGCTGAATCAACACCAAATATATTAGAAATTGGCAGCAATCAGGATGAGACTAGAAAACTACTGCAAGATCATGAATTCCTCCTATCTAAGCTGAAGGTAAGATGTGATGAGACCACAAAAAATGCATCTAGTCATTGTAGTTCAGGTACAACAGCTGATGTAGGTGCCCATGCCTCCTATTCCAATGTTGTGTTTAGGTTAAATTCCTCACAGAAAAAAGGATGTTCAGCTTTTGTCAGTGTAGCAAATCTTCAATGATCCTGCTGGGTCCCGTCCAATTTAGGATATTCTATGATTTTTTTGGAAGTTAGGTCTCTGCACTGGAAAAATATGCTTCTGACAGCAGCAGTAAAGACACAGGTTTTTTTCTGCTTTATACATCGGTGTCAAGTCAAATGAAAAAAATCCTATAGCCCTTAGTAACTGCTAAATATAATGGAATATCAATTTATTTTTTTAATTCACCAATGTTGTGAAAAGTTTGATTATTTTATAACAACTGAAGTTCCTTGTAAGTCTGAAGTAGATATTCCAGGAACATTTTTATTAAATGTTGATTGATATAAGTTGCAGTAGAAATGCTACTGTAACATTAAAATAGCTCATCTTGAGCTAGGAAGATTTCAGCTAACTGTTTTGGCATTCTTGAGAGCAGATTATAAGAACAGTGGCATTTGGACACTGAGTTACATGCTTGCGTGAAAAAGCTGAATTATTTTAAATGTGTATATTTGACACTGAGAAGAGTCTGAAGGCACCTAAAAAGAGATTTTGTTTTCATGTTTTGATAGGGCAGATTCACTTTATATCTGTAGACAAATAAATCCCTCTAAAATCTGTGAAGCTCTGCACAATATTTTATCCTTTTTTTTTTTTTTGAAATTACATAAACTTTAGATCTGAAAGAGGAAACCTGATTTGAATAGGATCAAGTATTTCATTTAATACCAGTGACTATGTGCTTCCCCAATCGTTAAAAATTTCCAATGCTTGTAAGGTAATTTACTACAGTATGTAGAGAATGTAGCTAATATGGTGCATGGTGTGGATTTTGAATAACATGAAGAATAGAATTACAAAAGAAACCACACCAAACACTCCCAAACAACGAAAATCCCCCCCAAGTCCTAGAAAGAGGTGGTTCTGCTCTCTTTTTTTATGCAAGTGCCTCACCTTTATTGCCACTAGTACTACATTTGGGCATTCTTGGAACAAGCTACTGTACCTGTTTGAACAATTCAGAATTAGATGAGTTCTTACACACTGATGACAGGAAGAAGCCAATTTTTTTCCCTCCTAATTCTCAAAAATAAATTTTAAACAGTGGAAAAAGAAAACATAATAATTTCCATCTTTGAAAGAAAAGCAAATATTCAAATGCAGGTCAGAGAATTTATTATGCATAAACAGTTAAAGAATGCTTTTCATCCAAATACAGTGGGAAAAAATACTCATTTCATATTTTATACCTGCAGTCCTTGCAAAATCCATCACCGATTAATGAATATTCTATAAAAGGACTAAGTTCAGAATTGCTATTTTTCCTCTATAACACGAGAGCTGTGATAATACGGGACTGCAATGTCATTGTAATTCTTCCTGACTGTGCATTTTTCAGCTATGACCCTTTGTGATTTATAGTATGCTGTTAACAATTGTCAGTAATTATTTAGTCTTAAATCACTAAATCCATTCATCAAAAGTTTTTTCCAAGCTTGAATCTCAGTCTTTGAAGTATTGTTTAGAGTAATTTTTTCCACTTAGCATCTGATAATGAATTAAGCATTAGCTGTGTGAAGATGCATAAAGAGGGAGTAATGTTTCAGACTTCAACATTTATGGCCATAAAGATTTAGTTATTTATGAGAGGATAAAAATGAATTTAAAAGTGTGGGCAGGAGAGGGGTTGAAAAGATCGAACAAAATTACAGTTATTAGATGGTCTTTGTTTTGGTGGTGTCCAGTATATGCAATTCCACTTGATCTTTTACCCTTAGTGAGCAACATAATTTTGTAAATTTGAACAATAATTAATTATGCAATTACATGAACAATCACCCAGCTGTGGTCTTACCCTGTGCAGTTTGTAGTTCTTCCATATTGACTACAAGTTACTATTTTCATTGACAATCTTGGTCCAACTGACTCTATCAATGATAGTCTATTGCATCCTGTAACATTTATTTTTGCTCTTAATTAGACCTTGGTATTTGGAATGCATTATAAATAGTCTGAAAAAAAAAAGGTAAAACAGAAGCTATGGTCTTATGCTCAAGTAAAACTTGTTCCAGTTATGTGCCAACATCGTGATACATTACCTCGGATTTACATAACTTTTTAAAACACTTACATGCAATAATGGTAATACTAATACAGCATATGGCAAATTACAAGTGTCTTGTTAGAACAGCACATTAATAAAAATGAAGACTTCCATAAAACACATTATGAATATCCATAAAAAAGTTGTAATTCTGAATGATGATAATTGCCATATTAACTTCATTTGTTTTATGTCAGTCTGTAACTTTTCAAAGTGAGAAGATTAGAAAGTTACATTGTAGTGAGAGGAAAAAAAGTTGTTTTTGCTTGCGCGCTGTGGGGTTTTTTTCCTACTGTGCTTCCTTAAAAATAAGAGAGGACAGAATCCTTATACTTTCTAATTTTAGAGCTAGAAATATTTACAAGTAGAAAAAAGTATAATGAAGAATTTCTCCACTTGGATCCCAAGAAAATGGACAGGGTTTTGTGTATTGTGGAATTTTTCAACCACTTGAATTTGAAATACAGCAGTGAGGCAGCTTTGAACTGTTTTCCTTTTTCTCTTTTTCTATTGTGTTAAAAAAAAAGGCAAAACAAATCCTGGCAGATACCAATACTTGATACACATATACTTAATTTCATTGATTAATACAATTCAATATTAAACTTTTGTGCAGGACAGGAAAAAAATCTTGAATGAGTAATGGCTTGATTATGAAACTAGTCCTGCTTAAGGGAAGATTTAGAGGATTAATACCAAATACATCTTTGGAATCAGTAGCGATGAACTTACCAACTTTTAGAAGATAATTTATGGAATAGTTGACCCTTCTGGCACTATGCCATGTTATTCTGTAAACTCATTCTAGGTTTTGATCACCCTTTTGCTTTTCAGTTTCATCATTATTCTCATCCCACTGTATGTATTATAAGTTACAATCAAAATTTTCAGGCCAAATTCTTTTGTCAACTTAATGTTGAAGATTCCCAGGTGTAAGTAAGGACAGAATTTGGCACAGTGGGCAGTGATCAGTTTATAGTAATTCTGATGCTAGAGGAAACAGAATGTAATCCAGCTCAGTATTTCAGGGAATTGTCTTTGGCTAAGCAATATTAATAGGCCTTAAAAAAACCTAAACTACCAGTTTGACACTGAGTAAGGCAAATGGTGCTTTAAAGGGTAATTGGAATAAACTTGTTGAAAAAGAAAACAGTAATTTCTAGACAATTTTTAAACTTCTTTTAATGGTCAGAATTACTGCGATAAAAAAAAGTGTGTGTACTTCAGGGCATTAGGGAAAAACATATCCAAAATCGTGTCCTTTGATAGAATGTATTCTATCACATTCATTAGTGATTTACATTTGTTCCATTAAATTTGGAAATTAGGAACACCCTGCTACTTTAATAAAGAGCAAAATACAACTTTAGAAAAGGGGCCCATTTCAAATGTTTATGGATTAGGAAACAGATGTGTTATTGTTAATAGAGTTGAAAGAATAAATGTTGAACAGGAAAGAGTAAAGCTGAGACTAAACAGAGAACCTGTACACAGTGTTTACAACAACTAGTTAAAATTCCCTTTAGTAGTCTCAGCTAATGTGTTGTGATTCTAAACTAATATATTCTGTTTCTGTTTTGCTAAATTAGACCATGTTAGCAGTAACAATTTTGTTGAAAACATCAACTTCTGTGATTTCATGCAAATCTCTTTCCCAACATCTGCCTTATCCTTCTGTAGGTGACTTTCAGCAGGTTTATATGTTCTGAAAATGTAAATGTATGTGTATGTACATTTTGATGTCTCATTTTTCACAATTTAAAAGAAAAAAAAGTGAGATCAAGACCAGAAGTCTTGAGACAAAACTCCCAGGAGGTAAAACAATGTAGACTGCATTGTGCATACACATTTCTCTGCCTTTCTTCTGTTCTCCATAATTCAGTTGTTTCCAAGAGAGGCCCTACCTGGAGATGATGTCTTAGTGTTTGAATCTCCCAATACTAAAACTCACTGGATCATTTGAAGAAAAAAAAAGACTGGGTGTGTGTGTGCGTGGCCATGACAATGTCAAAATCCCCACTAAGGCATTCTTGGTTTGCTTCCAAAGCTCTGGTTTTTATCTGAAAGAGGCTGTGGTAGAACCACTAAAAAATAGAAGTAAATCTAACCCATAAACTTAAGTTTAAAACCATCAATGTTATTAATTTGGCTCATGAACCTGAAGATTGTTCCTAATTACTTTATTTACTTCAATTCACAGAGTATATATTGCAAAATAGTAATTTATATGCTAATAGTCAAGAAAAACAAACTAGAAAATTGCATTCTTCAAAAAGCACTAATATAATATGCTCATTTTTTGCATTGATATATTTTAAATAAGCCTTTCAATTATTTCAAGTGAAATATTTTCATAATGCTTATTTTTCAGTAAATTTGTTATGGAAGAAATTATTTGTTAATATCTTCTGAATTATTTGCAATTAATTGTTGAGGTGCCCAACAGTACAATTAGCAGCAAAGCTCAGTTGCATTTTTATCACAAAGCAGAGCTGATTTTTGCAAGAGATTCGAACAAAAATGATAGAAGGTAAACTTGAATAAATATTTCTTTCAATGTTAGTTCAGCTCAGTCATCAATTTCAGCATTTGCATAAGCAAAATTCCTACCAAAATAGTATTTGTCTCAAAGCAGCTTTATGACTATTTTCTACGCCTCAAGTTAATAATTGTGTTGTATAATTTCTATAAACAAAGATTAATTTTAGCAGCATCTCAGTGAGGAGGGTAGTTTACACCCTGGAAATTCAGAATTATGAAATCAGTGTACAACAATCAGGAAAGGCAAAAGATAGTTTCCCCCTATAATTCCTTGCTCTTTTAATGGAAGGTAAAGTACCCAAATAATGGACTGTGAACAAATTAATACCAAATTGTATTAATATTAATTATAATATTAATTAAAATTATTGTACTACAGCTTGCATAAAAATGTTTTTTAGACCTTCAGTTACTTGTGCTCTGTCTTTGCTGCAATATCAGACCCAAATGTACCCTGAGAATGAGTGCTAGGAGAGTTGTGTGAGTGCACAACAGCTGCATTGCCAGGCAGTGAGTATGAATGACACAGACCTGGGGGTGTTAGCATTTGAAGTGTCTTTTAAATATGTTGAAGTGACAGAATATTAGGATAAAAGCATGTCTAGTTTTATTTCAAAATATAAAGTAGTCAGCTCTTTAAAAAAACAGTCTTTGCAAAAAAATTCCAAGTGGAGCTACCTCAGATGTCACCTGTTCTTCCCCAGTGTATTCAGTACAGCTGTGAAAGTGATCTGATCATTTTGGTGAAACTAACCTCCTAGTGACAAGCAGTTTGTGTGTAAAGTTCTGAAAGTATTTTACCTCTTTTTTTAACATGTCAATATTGTCATGACAACTACTTCTTTTCATAGTTTAATATTAAGATGTTGAGTTACTGAAGAGACTATCCATATTACATGCTCATTTAATTCCTGTTATATTAGCTACAGAGCTGGTCTAGAATGTTGAGAAAATATCATACTGGATAATTAATGAATGCCACTGCATATACAGAGTTGTTGTGCATGTAAAAATTTTATACCTCATCAAGAAAGAAACATCATAAAAGCTTCCCTTACTGCTTTACCTCATCAACTTTTTATCAAGTAGTATAAAAATGACTGGTTTAGAAGTAGCATTTATTTTTTAGATATATTGGTAGTGTTCAATAATGACTCTCTCAAACTTTTCTCTGTCCTTTCATGCCAATGCTATTCATGGAAAAAATAAAATTAAATACTCATTACTGCACTCAAAATTCTCTGGAGGAAAATATACATGTTTCATGATACTTAGGAAATGATACCTCTATATATACACCTTTAACTTATGGACAGAGGCCATCAAGTAATTGCTTCTTTGTTATATTAATATTATTAAGCAGCAGCTGTGGTTATCTTATCTTGTAGTTGCCACCATTGGTATTTTATGTTTTTATTTTTTAGCTTATGGCATTCACTTTTTCCCATGAATTCAAGCTTACCTGCTAAAAGAAAATGCTTGGCATAATGAAGTTTGAAAATAATTTTACATTAAAAATATGGGTAAAGCATTTTCAGCTGTATCTAGTAAGCATTCTGAAGTATGCTTCATCCTACCCTGCATTCACAGGGTGATGAACTCACATCCTTGTGTATTTCATTCATTCATCTTATTTCTTTTATTCTACACTTTGGCCTTAAAGCTTCTACAAGATTTTCATAAGATCTTTTTTCTAGGTGACAGAAAACAAGGCAAACTTCCTTTAGATCTCTTAACCAGGATTCGTCCAGCAGAGGTATACATAGCAGTACTTGGAGTCCAGCCTTTTTTGGAGGTTGAAAAAGAACCAAGGCTTTGTTAGCTCTGAAGACATGGTGGATATATTTAGGAAAATCCAATATTACATAGACAACATAATTTTTATAGCTTTGTGGATATAAATATTATTGAGAGATAATGATTTAAACCAATATAAGAAATGCCAAGAAAGAGTTGAAAGAACTATGTTAAAGATTGCAGTGAAAAAAGCATTTTCATTTATAACTTTCATGAGTTCGGCTCATTTACTTACCATTATCATTGTTTTGATGAAGCTGGGTTTTAAATTTTGTTAGTTGTACAGCCATATAATCTCTGTGGTTTAAAAATTATCATCAGTCAATGCTGTTCTTTTTTATTTCTGATAATAATGATTCTGTAAATTTGTAAAGGGAACAAAACACAGAATTATTTTCTTAACAATAGGCCATTATTATTTGGTTGCCAGCTTGAGCAATGCAGCAAGCTTAAATTGAAACACTGCATGTTAGGTGTTTTTTTTTTTTTGAGAATACGTGCGTATGTTTAAGCCACTCTTGACTGGATTGCATTGTACTCCTCAGAGACTTCTGAGTAAATTACCTTACAAGCTTCTGAAGCTTGTAATGTCCAGTAATGTAAGATGATGGCATATGAAAGAAGATTCACAGTATCTGCATTGCTACCACTTCCAGGAAGATAGATCTGTGTTTACACAGATGTAAACTCATTGGAATCCAAATGTTAGAAATAAAATGCTAAATTCTCTTAAGTCTTGTTTTTAAATGAATTTTATAAAAATATTGCCTCAGTTGCAGGTGAAATGCAGAGGCTTGCTATGAAAAATGCAGGAATAATTTACACTCCTTTTACTAGGAACTGGAAATAAAGCAGGAGTAGGCAGCCTAGTAGGCTAGTTTATCAGACCCACTGAAAAAGTATCCTGACACCAGTATCAGCACAGTGTTTTTGATTTTGTTTACAGATTTCTTATGTTTTGCCTTTTTTTTTTTCTTCTCAGGCTTTGGAAGAGCAGGTATGGGGTCTGCTGCATGAAGCAGACAAGGTTGCAGAAGAGAACAAAGAAAAGAGTCAGATTTATGATGCTATGGCAGAGACCCTTGGGGATTCATGGGATGCCCTCATCATTATGTTAGAGAAGCGACAGGCACTTCTGGAACTTACTACAGTGTTCTTTGAAAATGCTCTAGAGGTTTGTATCTAAATCAAATGACTGTTTATTTGAAGCCTCTGCCCAATGTAATTTTACTCTGTTATGTATTGTTCATTGTATTCCTAAAGGTTGAAGCAATTAAGAAAATATAAATTTCCAGATGCATTCTTTTGCCACCTTCCACATAGTACACGATGAAGATGAACAAAAAAAATGTAGACTTTAGGAAGTATCTTAGTCATGATGTCTCCAAAATTTGTACTTCAAAAAATTGCCAATGAAAAGTAGAACTGGACCAAAACAAAAAATATGTAATTCAGTGGCTATAGATATTCTACAGAATATCTTTCATTCCTTATAATTAAAGTGATTTGGTGTTGAAAGAACTGAATTCTCAGGTGCCTTCACTAATGCTCACTGAAGGTTTTACACCAAAATATCTCAACACCTACTGTAATTATGCAAAGTAAACATTACTCTAACTTGCCAGTCCTTTATCTGAGACTTTAATGTACAGATGGGCACAAAAGAACAACTGTGTGACCCCTGTTTACCCATTTCTCTGTATCTCTTATCCTGATTCACTGATACCCACAGGTAGCTACAGCGGAGAGGGATTCCGTGCCCTGCAGGTGTGTGCTCACTCTGTGTAGCCTCAGAATGAACTTTCCTCACATCCTGTAGCCTTGGAGAGAATTAATAATTCTCCCTGATAATTAATAATTCTCCCTGATAATTATTTTTCTACATTAGCCCAGTGCCATCCCTAAATTACTGAAGGAACTGTGGTACCACCAATTGTCCTAAGAACTCCAATATGATCTTTAAGGTCCCATCCAACCCAAGCCATTCTATGATTCTATTATGTCATGGTAATGTGTGTTATACAAAGAAATTAGTACAGAGTTGGCATAAGGCTTTGTAGGAAAGATGATTCACAAAGTGACAAACTGTAATTACAGGTTATGTCAACTAAAATTTGAGTTCCTTTTATTAATCACTACCTCAAAAAACCAAACCAGAAGGTGCATAGAGACCACAAAGCATCTGTATCTAGAGGTCACTAAAAATGCTGTTTTCCAAGAATTTACAAATTCTCATGAACTTTCCCAATAATGCAGAGATTATGATGGAGTTATGCAGAAGAAAACTATATTGTGCTTCTTCCTACCCTTTGTTTTCTTAATGCAGTTTGCTGTTAAAATTGACCAAGTTGAAGATTTCCTGAAAAATGCTCAAGAGTTTGACAATATTGACTCTTTGAGAGAACTTCTTCTGCAACAAGAGCATCATACAAAAGGTACAAAAAGTAGTCCGTTCCTGATAGCATGTCATTGTGCACTGACTCCTTGAAGGATAATTTTACTGTTTCTGGGCATATTTAAAAAAACCCATAAATTAGAACAAACAAGAAAATTTCTATTTGGAAAAATGTAATGGTGAAATAGCTCTTTAGCAGGCTTCCTGAAAGATATGAAACTCTTGTTTTCAAGCTAACTCTCTCATGGTTCCATCTTTGTTGCTGCAGACAGCCAGTGTTAAGCTTGTATTCTGTTTTCAAGGCAGTCCAGATCAGGTGAGCTGCTGAGAAACCAAACTGACTTTTAGTGCTGATTTGCAACAGGTTCTAAAACCATCCTTCTGTTCCATGAGAAAGTTTATCCAAGTCATCATTGGTACCGATGAATTAGCATTTTTCTATGGAAAAATTTCCACTAGAAAATTTCCAGTCGGTTTTAGTAAAAAGTCCCTGTGAAGTCCTACAGTTTCTTGGGAATAGCCAGGGAAGTAATTTGCCCACTGCTTTTCTGTGCCCAAGGAGGGGGGGTTGAAGCTGAAGTGTTAAGTGAGGGTGCAAACTATGAGACAGAGGTGGCAATTAGCCAGTTTCAGAATCTTTTTGCCTACAATGGTTCCCTGCATTTTGCTTCTGCTTTTGAGGAGTGGGGTTGTTTCACTTCTCCATTGACTTGCCTGATCTGTTCCAAGAGGTATTGCAGCTACAACTGTAACGCTCTTGGACAAAAAGGTGCTTTCTGCCCTTCCACAATTTTCTTACACATATGTTTGCCCATAAAAATTCTTCCATGCAAATTCTTTTTTTTATTCAGGCTTTCATGTGAAGCACCTTCTATCATATTTTGGTACTCTGAGTTCAAAAAATGGAAAAAAAAGTTTTTAGAACCAATCTCATTGTGTGGCTACTTCACACACCTTTGCAATTCCATATTGTTCTGCATTTTTTATAAGTCTTAAGACTCCTTCTTTGAAATTTTAATCACACTTTGCTGTATCATTAGTAACAATTGGCAGAATATCAATTATGCTTTACTATCCACTAGCGGAACACTAGCTTAAATATTTTTAGCTACCTTGAACACCAGGTATTCTTCTCAGGAGACTAAATAGAAAATTGAACTCAGATAACTCTAGTATAGGGTTTGGGTCTTACAAATTGATTTTCATGGGAGCAAAGTGGTCACTGTATAGCAATTTTTACCTGAAGTATCTGGCAGTAATTTACTGCTGAAAACAGGGTCTGTAACTGTAAGAACTGGATAAAATGGTTTGCCAGAGAAAAACTGCTTTGATAGTGATAAGCCTTTCCTCAGATGGAGGAAAGTGGTTGCAACTGATTGACTTCGTATTCTATCTTAATCTCATCAAATTTGGAAAACTGATATTGAACTATTTGATAAAAACCAGTGTTTGTATTGCTTTCTGTGAGAAGTATACTATCTACCCACTCCAAAGTAAGGTGGCTGAAAATACAACCCTTACAAAGTATTGGCTCAACCAGAATGTGATGAGTAGTTTATCACAAATGCTTATCATTTTGGGGAAAAAAAAAAAAGAAAAGAAAAGTTTTGAAACAAATGCATTTCAAAAAGGTGAAAAATATGAAATATCCTTGTTTATCCATTTCTATGTGTATTCAATTTTGGAGGGACTGAAATGGAACATTTCTGATTAATACCATCTTTCTGGAAGGCAAGAACTAAAATGGACAAGCTTGCTCCAGTGAGCTCATGAAAACTAATCTCTCTTGTTAGCCCTTGGTGACTGGAGAAGTGGAGGCATCCCATGCTTTTTCCCTAGTGTTCTACATGAAAGGTGGAGATTTAGGGTGCTTTGCCTTGAATTACATGCATTCAGGTGGGAAGATGAATGTTTCAGGGGGTTGCTTCCGGTTGCTTTACTTGCAGCTTCTTGCTGACATTTCTTTCATTATACTTTTCTTCATGTCTACTTCACCACCTGTTTTGGTTTGGCTCCCCTTCTTCCTTATTCCATACATAACAATTTCTCTTTTTCATTTGAAAGTCTTAGGAATACTGATCATTGTCCATTCAATAGATTTTGTACTATGTGACTTTAAGGACATATGATTAGTGGTCATTAAAGTGTACTAGTCCACTGAATTTTAACCTTGAATGTGTCTAGGTAGAGATTATAGAAAGTAAGAGTTCCTGATACTCCTGACTTATTTATAACAGCCTTCAGGCACGAGAACATTTTCTCTCAATGGTTGTGAGAGACATAAAGATCTAAACTTAGCTTGCATCACTAATGAAAAACTACAGAGGCTACTGACCCACATAAAAAGCAGGGTAGGAAATTCCATTTCAGCTTAACTGAGGATTGGGAAACCATCATAAAGAACTCAGTTTTTAGAAAGCAGTAGTACTTCTGGGTTTTGTCTTGATGACATACAGTACACCATTATATGTGGGTATATATGTTATATGTACCATTATACCTTTGTAGGTTTATATGAGGGCTGTCCTAATTGAAATATCTTGGTATATATACACGTTTATGTTGTAAGCATTTATGTTCATGAAATACATGAAAATATGTTGCAGTCATGTACGCAAGTAGATAGATAGTTTGAAAAATTATTTGAAATATGCCACTAGAATCACAAAACACACTGGGTTTTTTTCCTATGAAATTCTGTTCTTACAGAACTTTTGGAGAAGTCATTTGCACTTTTAAACAAAAGCCACGAGCTAACTGAATTCATAGAAGAATTCAAATGTGAGGGGCCAAATGCAAATCCGGAGATGATTCAGGGAGCCCACAGCAGCTGCTTGAAAATTGACAATCTCCTTGAAATGCTACAAGACAGGAGGCGGCACCTGAACAAATTTCTTAAACGTCAGCGCCAAGGACTGGAGCAAGTTCTGCAAATTTGTTTGTGGCACCAACAAGAGAACCAGGTAAGGGAAATCACAGTAAAAAAAAACCACCGAACAACTTTTTCACAGTACAAAGAGAATAGGAGCTTAAATATATTTATTAGGCCAATATCTCTGGGCCACTTCTGTTTGATGAGATCCTAACTTTTGAATGTTTGACTCTGTAACTATAGCTTCCTCAGAGTGTATTTTAATATAACTGTAACATCTTCTAATGCTGGATTTCCGTTATGTGGATTGCTCCTCTAAGTTATCAAATGTGGTGCTTCAAACTGAACTAGTTTCCCTTCAAATTGAATTCCCAGCACAAACAAACCTCCAGCCACATGGGTGATAACAGTAACTGACACCATCAATTATAACTGCTGCAGGCTGTTTCTGGACTATTCAATTCAAGAGAAGATAGCACAGTTAGTCAGTTGGTCTGACTGAAAGCAGAGAAGTATTTTATTCCTAAAGTCGAAACAAAATCCTTTAGGGTGCTGTAGTGATTGCAGGTTTTCCACATCTGCAACATGTTTCACTGTCTGCTTTCTCCCAGCTTAGGTCCCATCTTTTACTGAATTTCTCAAATACAACTGTTTTTTGTACCTTCCTTTCGGAGCTTAGGTACATTTAATTCTTACTCTTTCTCTTTCCAGCCCTACTGCTCTTTTTCCTTTTCATTCCTCATTTCCTAGAATTCAGATCAGATAATTTTCTCTCTTTGTACTTCATATAACCAAAGAAACTTGAGCAACGTAAGACTCTCTCCTCTCGTTTTCCTTGAGAGAAACACCACATACCTTCACCAACTTGACAGAAAAAAGTTATAGAAGTCCTGCTTCACCTCTTTGGATATTAATTATGCTAAGAAGGAGGAACCTATGCAAATTTAACTGCCAAAGTCTAACAACAATGAAGATGAGCTTTTTTCCACATTCTGAAAAAACAAACTCAAATAGTTTTTAAGATCATGCTTATCAGAATATACTTGTTTAGTGTCTGCATTAGAGTCAGCCTTGGTATAATGTATGAACTGTACATTTATGGACAATTAATGTCCACACAAAATAAAATATTCATATGTAAACACACACAGGAAAATTAACTTTTAGAGGCTCGATGTAAAATTTCTCTCTCTGGTCTCTAACACATGCATATATTCCTGAGTGATGACAGAAATTAAACTCTCAAAGTCTCTCAGCATATCCGAAAACTTATATTCCATTCTCTGTACATGGACTGAATTTGATATCTAATGGTGCTACATATGCCAGAGCAACATATTGAACTCCCACTGACATTAATAGGAGTACAGGGGATGCTTCAGGGAGTTCAGAGAAACCAGAGTACTGTAGACAAGCTCTGCTGTGTAAGATCTAAGAGTGGATTTTTGCTCTTTCTATTGCTTCTGTTTTTCTAGGCAAAATTGTGTAATGCAGAAGCCTGCATAATCTGTGGGTTGCTTTTTTAAACAAAAAGGCAAGCAACTATAAAGATCCCTTATTATCTGGTTATGAAACACTAAAAATCCAGCATCTCCCTTTGATCTCTAATTGGAATGTGGTGATCTGATAGTTAAATTGTAACATGTTACATATTTCTTTTTCAGAATTTTCAATATGTGAAAGTGTATTTTTTTACATACTTTCCTTTATGGAAGTGCCAGCATCATGTTTTCTGATAATCTCTTTCATTAATGAAAATCAAAGGCAGATTGGCCTATTTTGTGCATAACTAGTTATCTTTGGAAGAAGATTTATGAAATAATTTTTCTTAATCAATCGAATGGTGCATATGTGAGACAATTAAAATTATTGATGGTACTTGGTCATATCAAGGGCAGAAATACAAGCAGAGTAAAACTCGGGGACAGGTGAATACACCCACATTTACTAGCTAGACAGGTTTACAGCAAGCACACTCTCTTGGCGTAAGTCACAGTTCCCTTTTTGATTTTTTTTTTCTTTAGTGATAACTGACATTAAAAAAAAATTAAATAGTGTAACTTAGACTTTGACCCTATGTAAAAAAAGCCCCACACCTTGAAACTAAATGAGTTTCTGGCATACTTTCGAACTCCATCATTGGTCAGTCGTAATCTTTCCTGAGAGCATACATATTCTTGTTAAAGTATGCATGTACCTATATGGATTATATGGTTTTATATTTATATTTATTTCCAAATTGTCAAACTTTTCCTTCAAAATTAAAATGACTACTTGTTACCTTATATTCTAAATAACTTCTGCATATGGGAACACTGTGTAAACAAAGTCCTTTCTTGAAAAAGAAGGCCAAAAAAAAAAGCATATGGTGTTTTTGCCGAGGACTGTTCCACTATATGCTTTTATTGACTGGTATACATCACATGTAGTGGCATTTGGTTTTTTTACTTCCAGAGTCTTTTATAGTCTTTCACAAACATGATATAACAAGTTACTAGTAGCTACTCTGGGACAATGTAACACTGATACTTTTTTCTTTTGCCATAAAAGACTATTTTATTGTTCTTTGTAAGGTTGTACTTGGATGACAGAAAAATGACTAAAGCTCAGACTTTAAACAGAAGTGCTGCATTTTTCTTTATAAATGTGTCTGTGGTCCTAACTTGTTTTTTGCCCTAACTTGTTATTTATGAAATTAGACAAGAATGCTTCCTTCACTAGCAATATTGTGAACATAAATGCATTAATGACTGCTGAAGGGCTTTGGTAGGCTTGTTAGGAAGAGACTGAAATGTCCCCAGGATGAATCAAGACAATGTTGTCATGAGAATGCCTTAACATACTGATGATAAAAATATTATTTGGGATTTAAGACAGTAAGTAGTAAAGCATCAGCCATTCAAGTAGTGTTTGATGTAATGAAAAAACCTGTCTGGTATTTAACAAAGTCAGTTTATGTGAATGCTCTGGGGAAATTATTTGAAAATCGCTGATCCCACCATTCAGAGTAGATGTGTCAAAATACACAGTGCAGGCCGCCCATGTTCAAACTGCCTGAAGTGTGCTTGGATTTAATTTATTGCATGTAAGTGTGTGTATTTTAATACAGGAAAAGAGGGAGTGGAAAAAGGAAGTTTTTCCTAGTGGGAGTAATTTCTGGAAAGAAAAATGTGCCTCTTCGTAATTTCTGACCTGTGCTGTATTTGCTCCTTCTTTCTATAGTCTTGCATTAGTGTCAGGTGGTTTGAGAGGTTTGTCAGAGCCCAGGACAGTGTATTGGTGTCAGAAACAATTCTCCTTCTTCTGAAAATAGTGGTGGTTACCCTGGTGTGCTGGGTGCTGGTGCCCAGGCCTGGCAGTGGGGGCTGCAGGACAGGGAGCTGCAGGATGGGGGTGTGCAGGATGGGGGGCTGCTGGGCAGAGAGCTGCAGTATGGGGGGTTGCTGGGCAGGTGGCTGCTGCGAGGGGAGCCTCATGCCCAACACAGCTGTTTGCAGGGGGCTCTGCCACAGCAACACCACAGGGCAGGCACAGCCCCTCAGCCCAGAAGAACTGTAATGTATTTGCCATAATCTCCCATTCCCCATCCCCATGTGCCACTTGAGAGGGAAGAATAGGGCTGGGTAGAAGGAAGGTGTTTTAGTTTTTCTCTTTATTTCTCACTAATTGGCAATAAATTAAATTTCCTCAAGTTGAGTCTGTTTCACCTGTGATGGTATCTGGTGAGTGATTTTCCTGTCTTTAGTTCACTCATTTTCCATGCTCATTTTCCATCTGATTTTTCTCCCTCTGTTCTGTAGAGGAGGAGAAGTGAGAGTGTGGCTGGCTGGGTGTCTGGCAGCCAGACAAGACCAACCCACAACAAGCTCAGCCATGCTGTTGGTTTGGAGTTCTCTACCCACCCCCCTCCAGTTATTTGTTGGAAAACTTGCTGCTGCTTCTGAACTGGCAGTGGGAAACGTAGGAAGGCAGCGGAAGACTGCGAACATTGACCTGGATCATAATCAGTGCAAAACAAGCAGCTTGGCAACCTGAGAAAAATGTTGAAGAGCCTTTTATTTCTGATATAAATTATTCATTGCAAACAGAGCAGATAGTTGTTGTAAATGAATGATAAGGTCTGATTCTTGAAACACAGGAGTGATTTTAGAGTTCAACCAATCAAAACCAGTCTTTTTCAAATAGCTTTGAAAAATATTAACCTTGTCTCCTTTCCCATCCTTTCACCAAAATCACTAAAAGCAAAATTCTGTCTGTTTCTTACTTAAAACGCAGTGAAGTATTCCCAGCTGTTGCTTAAGAGCTAAGATAGCACAATGAAATCACTCAGAGGTATTAGCTGTAGTGGAAGCCAACTGATTAAACTCACTGTAATGGAAAGGAATATTGCCAACTGGTAAAGGGATGAATACTTAGCTATAATAGGGTTAAAGAATCACTTTTTACTCTGCCTAACATTACAGAAATACTAGTTTGTTTTGCTAAGATAAATGATAAAGAAGAACAGCCTTAATTTACAGAGAAATTTTTATTTGACTTTTAGCACAGTTTTTATTGTCCACTCCATTCATTTGTATTTCGGTGAACCCATAGTAAATGTTCTGTGAAAATGTGCTTCCAGGAAAAATATTTCAATCAGTAAGTACACATCTGGAGGATATGCTCAAAAAATTAAGGCTCAGTAATAAAATAATTTGTTTACTCTTCTAGCTCTGTTGAGCTCCTGAGATAATGTCACCAATGTTTTATTTGTAGCTGAAAATATTTCCAACACATTTGAAAGGTTCTTTCGTATTTTAAGATTGTTTAAATTTATTAAAAATAGCTTCTACATGAGCATATAAAACAAAAAAGTCTCTAGTGTGCTATTAAAATCTGTAGTATCTAGAGCACAAAAATTCTTAGTATGCTGCATATGATTTAAGTATAGTGGTGATTTTCCAGGTTGAAAGGACTGGGGGAAGTCCCCTTGATACCAATAACTCATTTTTACTACTATTTTAAAATGCAAAGCTTCACTCAGAACTTCTTGCCATGTGTTTACAAAGAAAGTGAGAGGTACCTACTATGAGTCAAGCAGATATAAATGCAAGTAATTCTGTGCACTTTAGAAGATATATTTGTATACTGCGTACGTTTTCTGAATATACTTGCTGAAGTAAGTTTAGTAAGATGTAATAATTTTTTTGAAGCTACTAAAGATTATTCCACACAATTTTATCTCAATAGCTTTACTGGGTTTTTCAAGCCAGGGGAGGAGAGGTTCTGTTAGGTCAAAATTACTCAGATCTGTAGTCTTTTACTGTATGTAAAGGGATATTTTTAAGTTCCTCCAGTTCAAGGGAGAATGTACAAAACCTATATGGTGTCAAAAACCATGCCTTTATACTACATGTGGCTATAAATTGATTTCTTTTTTACTATTCCTTTCCTTCTGCATTTATTAACATTCAAATAACACAAATGTAAGCATTTAACTATAAGCATGAATGTTAGGAATGAAAAATTAAAGGAATGAGAATGAGTGTGGGGTTTTTTGGATGAAACTGTCTTGTACATATTTAAAAAATGGACAATCACTTCTCAAATTATTCACTGACTGAGTTCTTTTTGTTATTTAATTAGGTAACATCTTGGTATATGAAAAACATCAGAGATTACTTTCAGAAGCAAAACTTAGGCTCATCTCTATTGGAAAATGAAGAGTTACTTCAAGAGCTTGAAGAAATGGAAGTCAAAGTGAAAGTAAGGAGTAACATAATTGGTTGGTGAAGCAACTTTTAAAATGAGTAGGAAAACACAACCTTGGGCATTTAACAAGCAATATAAGAGTAGATATTTTGTAGGTGTACATAAGATATGTATTTCTATGTGTCTAAATTATTTTAGTCATTTTATTTCTTTTAATGCAGTCCTCCATGCTTCTCAGTGGTTTTTGCATTCAAAATTTTAAAAGCTATCAATAAAAAGAAGAATAATCCTTGATGTTGTTCTGTTGGTTTTTCAATTTAGTGATCAAGTACCATACCAATAATTTACGTATTAAACCACGTGGCACAAAATAAAGAAAAGCAATTTTATTAATGTTCATAAAGGATAAAAACCCAGCCATTTCTACCATAATTAATTGTCACTGAGCTGAGTACATGATTGGAGGAGGTATTTGCCTATTTATTTCTTGTAACTAAAAGTAATTGAAAATGTTATTTTCATTGTTAATATCAGTTTTCCAGAGAATGAATCTGTTACCACCACTTATAAAAGCAAGATGGGATTAAAAAAAAGTTGATATAAAATGAAAGGATATTTGTATTATATAAATTGCCTATATTTAGAACCCTTTTTAGATACCTCAATTGTGCAGTCATCAGGTAAGTGCTGTTGCTGGGTCAGGATCATTCCTCACTGTATCATTTTCAAGCAATTGAGTTTGGATAACCCAGATGACTGAGCAGGTCTTTTTCATCCAAAAACTATTCCAGTAGAAGCAAATGCCTTTTTAAAGGCTATTGTGTTGATAGCAACTAACAGGCTTGTGATTGTTCACAGCTATGCTTGCTTGTAAGCTTTGTGGTTAAATGTCACATGTTTGCCTGTTTGCATAATTAACAGTTAACTGCTTCAGGGCTGTCATGTAAACAGAATACAATAATATTTCTAATGGTTCCAAGAAGCATGTCAGAAAACACATTTTTTTTGTTTAGGGTAGATGAATATGTAAATATAAATTCTTCTGAACAGACCTTTGGCACAAAAAGAACAGATTAACAGTAAATGAGTAAGCTGTGGGGACACAAAATATCGAGGGGTCATAAAGTATTACTGAATTTTAGAACCAACCAAATAATCATTAATCTTCCCCATGTTCCATTTTGAAAGTTTATCCTTTTAATTCACTGTCTGAATTAGAAATGATAGCATAAGTAAGGAAAGAAGAACAATATACATTTTCATTTTGTATAATAATCCTTTCCATGGTTGACCATTCAGAAACTAACTTATAATGATAACTTTTATTATTACAGTTTTGCCTAACAATTCTTCTCCTATACATTATGTAATAGATAATTCATATAATTTTACTGAATTACCTTTTTTTTTTTTTAAATAAGGTCATTTAAAAGTGTATAGCATTAAACATTTTTGTTGTGCATCCATGTGAATTATGATTTAGAACATCTTGTCTTTAACCTTCTGCTTTTCTTACTAGCAGGATGTTCTAACGGGGAAATTAAATTCTTGAAGGGGCTGTTACTGAGTATGTTGGTTTTGCTTATGATGTGCAGAAGAGTGGCTAGGTTGAACTGCATACTGCAAATACAGTTGAGAAAGCTGTGAGTTATGGGGCTTTGTGCTTTAGTTTTTGCAGCACTGAACTGCAAACGTTTAGAACAGAATAAAGGAGGAACCTGGCATCTTGATTGTAAAATTCAGATAAATGTTCAGATTCAAATAAATTCAGTTAAAATTCAGATAAATACAACCAAATGTATATTTCAGTAAATATTTGTTAGATAGGAGAGATTAATATTAAATGTCATCACTGCACAAAGTAGCGTGTTATCTGTATGATTGGAATACACTGAAACATGGAACAACCTAGAAATGAACTTGTCATCTTTGCTCACAAACTAAACAAAATCAGGATTACAAGATCTGTCATGTTTGCATATGAAATTCCCTGAATCTTCAGCAACTCACAGGCCTTCAGCATCCCATTCCTGGTCTGAAGTATTTATACATATGTATGTGTTTTGGAACTGCAGTGCTGTTGCGTGAGATATTCATTCTGTTTGAGAAGCTGTTGATTAATTCCATGACAAAGTTTGGGGAAGACCAGTGAAGAACTAGGTACAATCTTAAAAAAATATTGCACAGGTCTTGGAAACAGATATATTATTCCCTCTATATTCCCATACATGTGTGCACAAAATTCTCTTAAGCTGTTTGTCATGTAAAATTTTCATTTCAGTTGTTCATACAACATGACAGGGTCACTGTTTTATAGGATCCAATCTTTCATCCCAATAATGACACAAATTTCTGGTAAGTCTGAAATTACTTGTCACTAGTTTGTTCAAACGAGCCTACTTCAAAAAAAGGTTCTACTCAATCTCTGTAACTGACCTTGTCTCATTATTTTGTAGCACTTTACTACTTTTTGTGCAATTAGAAAATTTCTTAAACAATAATTGTATATTTTCTTCCAAATCACCTTGTGAAGTTGTTAAATTTAATGTGGCGAGAACAGGTTTAGGAACAGAATGGTTTAAAAAATACAATGCTAGCAATTTATCTTGTCTTCTGTAAAGCAAACATCTGTAGTTCCCAAAATATGTTTTCAGGTTGCATTCAGACCAACAAGATATTGTGATGTATTATAACGCTGCAAAAACTAATTTTCTCCCTGAAATCAAGAACCCTTATGACCTTGACAGTAACTTAATATGTGACAAAATTGTAAAACACTCATAAGTAGAAATTAAGTCCATCTTTTCAAATGTACAGCTTAACTGCATTAAGTGCTTCAAAATTCCTCCGCCTCTATTTTATTGAGCTACTTTTTAAAATGTCTGATTCTTAAATGTTTTATCAAGATAAAAGCAGACACCAGTTTTTACTGTATATATATTGGAAGCAATCTTTTTACCAATAGGAAAAATACAATATCAGTTTTTTTCTAGCAACACTAAATCTACGGTTGGAGTTACCTTCCATTCAGGGATCCCTTTAGTGTCCAACTTATGTTGTAATAAACAAGGTGAATAATCCACATTAATTTCAAGGTGAAATGTAATTGCAAGAAGTCTTCAGAAATCTTATCAATTCAGTTAACTATTTTATCTGCTTATGTGAGAAAATATGGAAATGGTTGCAAAAAACCATTTGATTTCATGTTCAGGAAGAACTGTTATGAGTACCTTACACACTACTTGGCTAATTAATTAATTACATGCTTTATCTGTAGCTTGGTCATTGCTTACAGCAGCGTTGATGTCTGCTGTCATTTGTCTAGTTCTGTCATGCCAAAACTGAATGTTTCCTAAAAGCAATTAGGGGCTTTAAATTATTTTCCATTGATGAAAAAAATATAGCTAGATTTTAATTAGTGTCTTTAGCAGAGTGTCTGAGTGTCCATGGCTATCTCATGGCATTCTGTTAAAAGTAATAAAGACATTGGTAAACTAGTCTGAAACTACCTGGGGATTTCTGTATTAGAATCTAAAGTAGTGTAAATAAATCTTTTCAAGTAACATTTAATATGTATACTGTAACCTTCAGGGTATAGCGAAATGTTTCTGTGTAATAGCCATGCAAAGCAAGTTAAAGAGTTCTCACAGGGAGTAAGATAATGAAAAATTCCAATATCTGAACAGTTTCACACGAGATGTTTACTCACATGTATTGTTGCATTAAGTCGAACAGGGCAAATGATTTGCTTAGATTGTTCAGAGGCCAGACTAAGAAGGATTGACAGGCTTAGCATCTTATTTATGGGACTGGGCTGAGAGGAGAAAGGAGAATGATTTATTATGTTCTCAGGCTGATATCTTATCTTGAACGTCACCTTGATAAGAGGTGAAACCACTGAAAACATTATTGCTAGCTCGTAAAATAATTGAGCCCAAAATTAAACACAAGGATTCACAACTGGAAAAAAAAGGCTTCAACCCTCACAAACGAAAGTCCTCCCACAAGGACTTACCGCCCACCCTCCACCTCCTCCACCCCCTTGCCCACCAAGAATTGAGAGAAAAGGCATGTTTAGGAAATCATGTTTCAGTAAGAATATCTGCTGGCACCAATTACCTGCTCACTGTTGCATTTCTATGTGCATTGGAGGTACTTGACATGGTAAACAAGAAGTGCTAGCACCACTTAGTGGCCAAATAACTTCAGAGATGAAGAAAAGTAGTATTCTAAATTGTTTACATTTGATCTAGTTTCTGCCACTTTCCAGGACTGAACAATGCTGGAATCAGTCCTCTTTTTTTTTTTTTTTTACTAAGGATCAGTAGCACAATGGAGTACTCTGGTTTACAGATCTGCATGCTTTTCATGCCCGGAGCAGCCATGTTAGGTAATAACACGGTAATACTCTAATGAGCTTACAAGGTGGTTCTCAATGACAAAATTAAATATCACTAACAATGGTATTAATTGCTATATCTCCTAAATCTTCGTTCGCGAAGCCTAGCCATGAATTGCTATATTTGTTGACATTGATATGAGGATCAAGAGTATTGCATTTACCTGGGGTTTTTTTCCCAGATCTCACAGCTAGTGCTTAGATGCATGGAAATGTTATTTCACAGTTCAGTGTCTGTCTGGAGCTCTCTTCTGTGGCCTTCCTGGGTGGCTGTGCACCTTTACCATTCTCTGCATGGTTGCAAACCCAGGCTATCCAGCACTTGCCAGTTTTTCTGAGATGGGTGTTCTGTTGAGTTTGACAAATGTTGCATTTCACAGCACAGCAGATGAAATACATGCTCCTGTATTTTGATAGCTAGAGCAAAGTATGTAAAGAAAAAGAATTTTTCTTTATGGGCAATTTTATTTTTACCTAACATTCATCTTTTATGTGCAGCAAATGGAAATCTGCATTCATCTATTTGGTTCTTCTCAGTATCTGATTTTCCTGAAGTGCCATCTCACTTCCTTGGGAGAGTCTGTCTCTTATTTTTAACATTAACTGTCTATTATTTTTCAGTTAATGGTTTGGAGGATATTTAGTTTGGTCTTTTGGTTTGAGTTTTTTGGTTTGGTTTGGTTTGGTTTGTTTGCTTGTTTGTATTTTGTTTGTTTTTGTAGGTCTCTCTCTGTCCTGGAATTATCTTTTAACAGATCTCAACAATTTTCTGGGGGGTGACAGACTTTGAGCTTTCCCTCTTTCTATTTGTTGATTTTATCAGCTCACTGTTAAATACAGTGATACGGCTATCCACTGAACTTCACAAAAGACAGTTCATGTGGTAATTGTCATAGCAACTCACAATCCCAGTTGTGTTAGTGCACACTATTTTATTGGTAATTTGAGGGAATTATATGATTGGTAGTTATACTGTGATGTAGTTCTTGAAGGTAAAAGTCTTTCAAATATATTCACAGGAACTAAATTATCAGTGTACTGATGTATGCAATGAATCAGTTACATGCAAATTTGGGGCTCAGAAAAAGTCCAGTTGTGAACATTTTTGCATATGAGACAATAAGCTAATTTATCATAATTCTGAAAAATACATATATTAACATTTAATTGACTTGTGGTTTAATGCTACTTTATCTACTATATAGATCATAATCTGAAGTCAAATAGGTGTGTTTCAAAGTTTTATATGCTTAACCCTAGAATATTCCAGTGCAAAACCTTTTATTTAGCATCTCCAGTTTTAATTCAAGGTTAGAATTTTAAAATCAGAAATGTTTATGTTATAGGCCAAAAAAGCCCATTTATGCCACAATAATTGTTTAATAACAATTTGCAGGTATTTCTGAATTTTTTTTCCCAGGCTTGTGCTGGATGTTTTAGAAGGTAGAAAAAGTTCAAGACTTTTACCTAAAGCTACAATGTTTTTAGTTCATCAGTTTTAACACTCTTGAAAAATACCTGAATAATCAAGGAACCTAGAAAGAGCTCATTTTCCTTGTCAAATGGAATAGTGAAAGCAAGTTTTTAAAGACTTAGTACTGTGAGGAAAAAAATGGTGACATGGGCTAAGGAGACACATCAGCCACATCCAATGTGTCTTTAATAAGCATTTCCTGAGAAGTTGAAAAATCAAGGTAATAGTAGGCTGTGTGTTCCTTTCAGTGAAAATGAGTAACAAATATTTTAGTGACATGTTGAAAACTTAGCCAAATTTGAGGACTATTTAAGTAGGATAGCAAATGTGTCTAACCATATTTGATACCCTCAGAGAGTGTGTAAGGTTGTAATGTTCATGGAATGTTGTTAAATATAAATTGTTGTAATAAATTGCGTTTTTGAGCTTGTGTGAAAGTTCAGAAAAGATGCTTGCCTCAATATAGACAAGTTTAACCTCTGCTGTAAGATCACCTAAGAGCACCTTGGGCACCTTGTACCAAACAGATTTATGAATTTTGTTACAGGGTAATACTCTTACATGGAATAATTTCAGTATATTTTTCTTATAATTAATAAGAATGCCTGCTGCAATTATAATTTACATATTGTAATACACTGAAATAACTCAGAACTTCTGATTTTCTGTATATACTTCTAAGCTAATTTTGGACCGTTTCCTTTCCAGTTACATTAACACGTGCCTTTTTCATTCTTGCATAAAATATTCTTTTTAATTAATATATAAGTAGCATATAATAACAAATGAGGATACACATATTCAGCTACACTTTCTTTACCTTTTTTGTGGTGAATTATTATAAGCTCCCAACTGTAGTGTTGTTTTCTAGTTCTCATTAACATCTACATGTTTAAATGTAAGGAAAATTTTGACTAGAATCTGACCGTGACATCTGACCATGCATTTGATACCAGTCATTCCAGCTGCAAGTACTGGAAGATGACAATGTTCTGGTGCTGATATAATTGGATGTCAGGGGTCTACACTTTGTTTATAAGTAGGTCAGTTAAGTTGTGCGTATGGAGGCACCTCCTGACTATTTTTTTTCCCAAGTAAATTCTTCAGGTAAAAAGGAAAAAAATAGTATAGCACAGTAGACTGTTATTATCCCCATAATCTTCGCTCTTGCTCAGTATTACTTAGGACAGCACAGAAGGAAATAAAGTGGGCAGCACTTGGCCTTCAGGTGCTTGTTTGTGGAAGAGATGAACTTGAAAAACCTCTGAGAAGGCTTTTTATAAGTGTTCCTTTGTAAGAGTTAGCATGAGTGAGACAGGTTTGCATCTTTGTAGGCATACAGTGCAGGTATATTGAAGCATAACCAGAACACAGTTCTTGATGGAATTCTAGTATTCTGGCACATCTTTCTTTTTCAAAATGAAATAAGGCTAGATCTGTTGAAATATATGGAATTAGTTTTCTTACTAAAGCCATTAGAATCTGATTAAAACATTTTGAGACTATTGAATTTTTTATGCTGCCTTTTTTTTTGATTGGTAATACTATAATGAAAGTAAAAAGCAAAAGCAGATTTAACGTGAAAAAAGCTAAATAAGGTGTTAATGCAGATCTATAGATTTTTACAGTAGCTTAGGCCCTCCATAGCAGAAAAGTAGAGTGTTTACAACAGTGGAGAAATGACTTACAAATCTAGCAGGATTTTCATAATTTTCCTTTTCTTACTCATCACATTTTCAAGATGAAGGGATATGCTGCATTGCACAAAAAAAAAAAAAAAGGATACTGATCAAACAAATCTGTAATCTGAGTCATTTCTACTTCTTCAGTGAAGGTGTTATCAGTCCTTTTATATTTATTATCATGAAGTCTTTTTAAAATTTTTCCTCCATAAAAAGCTTACTTAATACCTAAATAATCTCTAATATCCTTTTAAATTGGTTTTAATTTAATGTAAATCTGCTTGCTAAAATCACGTTTAGCATCTCTTTTATCATTTTAATTATGCATTGTTTTTTAATTGACTTTGCTAAAATGTTTGTCTCTTGTTACAACTTGCAGCAGTTAGTACCATGGACTAATTCCCACTGAAGCGTTCATCACTTAATATACCTTGTTAGTTGTATTTTTGAGTAAGATGAAAGGTATTTTTATATAAGTCATAATTTTGAGATTATCATGTTGGTAAGTATAGACATCCCACCAGGCATCATGGCTTTTTATCCCCACGAGTTTATGCATATTTTAGAATTCTTTTTGTTACCCATGTTAACACCTCTGTTTCAGCTTAAGTTCATGTGCTATGAAGCTGCAGAAATTAATCCAAAGTTCAAGACAAGAACATACAGGCATAGTCTGAATGCATGTGTTTTCCATTTTGAACTCTGGTTTTCACTGACTTGTGAGTAGTGCTGAATCTTTCTCCTGACGTGTTCAAGGTAATCTAGAATTCAGCAAGGAAAGTAGTCCTTTCTGTTGGAATTGCCATGTACTATTTAAGCTTTTTGAGAATTGTAGGGTGTCTCTCACTTGTTAGTTTTTGAACCAGATCTAGTCCATACCAATAAGGAGGGAGAGAGAACTGCATCTGGTCAAGAAGTCTGCGTAAAATAAGTTGCTCATCTTTTTAAACAAGTGTTTTTAGTGTACCAGTTGTCAAAACAATGGACAGTGTCAGTGCACTGAAATACAGAGACCAAAATAATTCTACTACTGCTTACTGTACTTCAAAGAAGGATAAAGCAACATGGTGGGATGCTGTAAGGGAATTAGAATTGCTGCTGTTTTGAAAGATCTATGAATAACCAGGTTACTTTTCTGGGGGAAAAATTCCAAAACCAGAAGCTTTCACTAGAAATATTTTCACTAAAAAGAAACAACAAACATGAGGTCCATGATCTTTAAGCTTGCTGAAAAGCATTCTTGTTTTGCCCTGTGTATGCTTCAGAGTGTTTTCATGAAAAAATTCTTATTTTAAAATATTCTTCTGTCTACTTTACCAGACATTTGATACAAATTCTTGGAAGCAAGTGCTAAATTAATTGAAGAAAGGGTCTTCTATGATTTAATCAATTACTGGAAAAATGTGTTACCTAATTCATGGGAAATTGTAGTATAGTATTAGATGCTTCTTTTGTTTTGAACAGTATAATAAGACACCAATTTTAAGTGTTAACAAGTTCAGCAGCCATAAAGTACACTGTGTAAGAGTTTTACTCTTTTATAGTTTTCTCTATAAAAAACACAGAGGGGGAAAAAAAAAGAAGCAACCAAAGTCATATATTACTTTTCTATGTATAATTGATTAAAATGGAATTTTTCCCATTAGGAATGGAATTCCACTGTGGAACAATTGGAAAGTGAAGCATTTAGGATCTTGCTTTCAGAGGACTATACAGAAAAAGAACAACTAAAACTTTCAAATCAGAAAATCTGTTTGTTACGAGAAGAAGTGTGCTTCCATATGGAAGAAAGGAAAGCCCTGCTGCAAGAGGCCAATGACTTTTTTCACGCTGCTGGCAAGGTTGGTAAGAAGCCAGGTTTGTAATAGTAGCCTGATAATAAAACTGTTAGTGTGCTCTTGAAGACTGATATATGTGGGATTAAGCAAACAGTTTGCTAAACAATTTGGAATGGAAAACTACAAATTCAATTACCCTTTAATATGACCTTTTGCCTCAAACTTCTATCCAAACTGGCAAATGCATTCTAAAAAACTTTTTTTTTTAGGTTTTTTTTTGTTTGTTTGTTTGTTTTTGAAGTATATTGAGAAGAGCACTCAGTTTCCAAAGGAAGATATTTGGGAAATATTTATTTGCCAAAAATTGGCCTTTAAGATCATGGGCTCTGTCACGATGGCATAAAACTGTATGAAGATACAGGAACTGTGCTGAAATACCCAAACTGTTACAGGCTCATATGGATACCAGAAAGAATGTCTATTCTTGCAATGGTCTTCACAGGGGCTAATTATAATCAATATTATTAGTAATGCAACCTTTTTTCCAAAACCTTTTAGTTAGGAGACTAGTTAGGAGTTTATTTTTAAGGTCTTCAAAGACCAAATGGTCTTTTTGTATTTGATAGAAGTTTTAAAAACTGTTTGTTTCCAATGACAGCTCCAACAACCATCTTCATAACTCTACTGAGTGTGCTGAAAAAACCTTTAGACTTTGCCTGCGCTAATTTTTGTTTTGAGCAGCAGGTGGGGCTGTAATCACATTTGTCTTTAACCTGTACGACTTCCTTTGGTATTTCTTTAACAACATATAAACAACACTTGGAGTTGAAATTATTTACTTATATCTTTTGTTCCAATAAGTCTGATCTTTTTGCTTTCATTTGTAATGAGAAATCTGAGATGGGCTAATGAAAACAGTATTAAAACTATTGCTGATAGTCACTGTCTTCTGGTTTGCACAAGGAGCTACACAAATAAAGGCCATTACTTTGAGAGCAAAGGTAACAACTTTCCAGAATATAGGGCTGTACTTTGTGATAGTACTTGCTGAAGAAAGCACTATCTCGGGTGTGACTCCACAGCGTTTCATTACAGCTGGTGTGTCTAAGAGTGAACAAATCCTAGTTACTGTAGTTCAGAAAAAAGACATTTTCCTTTGTTCTCAGGGTACACACCCAGACTCTCTTTACATGTAAAGGGCAAATGAGCAAAATTAACTGTTTTGGAATAACTTGAAGAGAGCTCCTTTTAGAGCTTGTGTATCTCACTGTCATTTTAATTTTTAATGATTTCAGACAAATAAAAAACCAGAAGTAGAGCAATTACATTGTGTTTTTGCTCTTAAGTTCTGAGTGAATTTGGCAGCATTTGGTTGTTTATTTGGCAATATTAAGCAATATTTTCTGCATATTTGTGAGCTTTTTGGCTTTTTTGTAATCATGTACCTCCCTTCCTAAGCTTTCCTTTAAATGTCAATCCATTTCTGTGTCAATGTAGTTATCTTCAGTTTGACTTTCTACAGGGGGATCTCTGTGTAGCTATCCTCTGAGAGTACTTGAGAAATGATACATGCAATAGTCCAAAATTGCTTTGATATAGCAAAAACTTGAAAACATTCACTTTGATAACTTCACGTAAATAAATGAGGCTTTTACTAAATTCAGTATGCTTGCAGTTCATGTTTTTATTTAGCTTTGGAGTATTGTATAGTTTGGTGCGTAAGTTGCTTCAAAACTCATTTGAGAGATAGTAAATAGCTTGAAAGTGAATATGTAGGAGAGACAAGGGTGGAATATTCTGCACGATCCAGTGAAACTTATGCTGCTTACCTAGTTAAATATGCTAACTAGTACTACTAGTCTGCCTGATAGGTTAACTCCTTCTGAAATGCTTATAAGTGCATAATCCTTCTTGAACACTTTACAACTTTCCTATGACTCTTTTATTTAGTATTCTTAAGTGTGGTCCTGAAGACTGGAATTCATTATACAGAACCTATTACACAAAATAAATAAACTTCACTCAGTTTCTGAGTTCATATGACTGGCCTCTATTTACAGAAGAAAGATCTTTGAGATTCACATAGGTCCATGAGTCTATGAGTTTTCAAAGATGATTGTAATTACTGTCTTGATCTGAAGTTTATGGCCTTTTTTATACTTAGCAATGACAAAAATGGTTTCATGTTTTAGGAAAAGTCCTTCCTGGAGTACCTTCAATTCCCTGACAGAGTGTTCTTGCTCTTCGAAAATTTTCTTTGTATGATCAGGATATTTTTTTTTCCAGAAATAACAAAAGAGTATGCATATCTTATTTTATTCCATTGTGTATAGAAGTTGAATTACTTTTGCTCATCCTCTTTTCTTTAATTTCATTTATTTCCTTTGCAAAGATTTCAGTTGTTTGAGAGAGTTCAGGCATCTCTCCTTGATGTTTTGAGTCAGTAAAAGGCGTTCATTTTCAACTGCTATGCTCTTGGTTCCTATTCCATATGTTGTAGAAAGCTGGATCATATTGTCCCCTAAGAATCTTACTGAGTTTTCAATTTTTTATGAATGTAAAACCTTGCAAAAGCCTTTAAAGTCAAAGTTAGTCTGCCTTAGAGTTTTCTCTTCTGATATAGTAGTTTTAAAGTTGACATAATTACAGATAGTATTTTAGCATATGTGTATATATATTTGTTGTCTCTCAGAATTCTTCTCAGTGATGAACTGAAGCTTCAAGAGCAATGTATTTTTAGACTATAAGTCTGCAAGATAATTCACTATACTATAGAGTATATGAAGTACTGTAATGTTGTCCTTACTCTCTATAGAAAGACAGGAGTCTTTATAGAGTGCTTTTGTCACTTTTTTCTGGAATTTGAAAGAGGAAACTTCTGCTTACACTAAAGGAAAATAGAGAATGGGTATAAAAAAATGAAAGCTGCCTATGTGCAAAATTAAAGCCTACCATTTTAATAAAAACATATTTAATTTTGATTTATTTGTTGGATATACAATTAAAAAATTTAAAGCATGGGGAAAAAAGTTCTGTTAACACTTTAAGAATGTGCTTCAGTAAAACTTTTGAGTCTTTTGAGTGCTAATGTGTTATATTACTCTTCTTCTTCTTCTGCTGTGGTTCTGCTTCATTATGTCAAATTGTCCTGACTATTGCTGGAAAAATGGAATAGTTTTAAATTTAAAAAGTAATCACTATTTTGCATGCCCACACTTATATTAACTCTCATTGAATTATACCCGGGCTCCTTTGTGACCTGCAAAGTCAATATCAGACCCTAAATTAAATTTTGCTTTTCATTTCTGAAGAAATGTCATGTATTAAATGTTTATTGATCATCTGTTTATTTAAAAGAATATAGATGCATATTGTAAATAGAAATATTGACAGCAGATGCCTTTTTTTTTTTCTTCAGGTACTTGATGGTCTTGAAGGTATCGAGAATTATCGTAAAATCTCTAACTCAGAAGGATTACATTTTCCTACCTTGACAACGAAGTACAAGGAATTACAGGAAGCAATTAAAGGTTGCACAGTGACTACCATGCAAAAGGGACAAACTTTAGTTAGTAAAGCAGATTCTCACAGGTATTCCCTCCATTTTTGCATATGTGCTTCATTTCTCCATAATTACTTGTTCCTTTATAACTTGACTGCTTAGAATCAGATTGCATTTAGAGGCAGTGTAGTTTACTGAGTAGGTGTGCATTTAAAGACTCAATGCTTCTGTCATAGTTCTCTGGTGGTATTTATACAAACCAATCTCTTTAACAAAAATCTTTAGGAATACTACATGCTACTTGTAAGAGTGGTGTCAAACAATGAAGTTGATATGTTGGGTGGTATTCAGAAACAGTGGTTCAGTTAACATTTTGGAAAAGTAAATATATGTAACTGAAAAGTAAAATATAAATAGCTATGAGCACTCCCTGCTGCCCACTGTACTCCTTTTAAACCTTTTTGAAGATCAGAATTACAGCAATTAGAATGTGAATTGATGCAAGATAAAAATAAGGGTGATAAGCCCTGTGCAGAAAATATGGAAGTTTCTTCAGCTTTTAGTAGTTTTAATTCATGAATAAGTAACTTTTTTTTCTTCCGAAGCTTTTTTAAATTGCAGTGATCATGCACTCCACATGTGTGATTTTTACACTGATGTAAAAGGTCACACACTGTGACCTTCTTTAGAATCAGTTCTAGTGGCTTAATATCTCCTACTTTTCAGGTCTTAGTAGGAGGCTGGTGCAATAAGAATGAAGACCATTTATTTATACTAGTATGTTCTACTTCAAAGGCAGAGCAAATGACTCTGGCTGATGGTTGTCTACTGGTCAGCTTTTATGTCCTTAATTATTCCTAATATGTCAACACAAAACTGAAAGTGTATGTTAGACTTTAATCTCATGACCTTGCAAAAAAAAAATAATCTAAAGCTCCTTCACCTGTCACCCCAGATGTAATTGTCTTGAACCTAACAATGGGACAAAATAGAAAATCCAAAAAAGTTGAGAACACTTACAACTGGTTTTACAGCTGTTGTTACTGCTTCCTGATATTTTAATTAGATATAAAGGAAGTTGACTTTCCTCAGTGGAACTTTGACTTATTCCTAAACCAGCCATAATTCCAGAAAACATGCTGCTGTCCTCTAGGACTTCATGTTCTGCACATGTGACCTCAACAGAAGCAGGTGTTGTGTTTCAAAATATGCCTGCACAGCACTGATTAATGCTAGGAACACTAAAGACCTTGGTAGAGAATGATCCCTAAAATGACAAGTCATTAATTTTCTTTTTTCTTCATTAAGAGTTTTTTAAAAATATTTCAGTAGGCCAACTCATCAGTGGGATGGTAAGATACCTTTGGTACACATTAAAAACAGTGAGATGAATTTTCAAAATAACTGTATTGGTCATTGTAAAATTCAACATAAACAGGTAATGCTACAGGCATATCTCCTGTGTGCCAAAGTGTCCCTCAAGATATTCTATAAATAAATAAAGAAGGTTAGATTTCTGCTTAGAAGACATTATAATTTAAAAAAAGGGAAAGCTTTACAGCTGAGGTAGCAGTGATTTAGAGAGGGAAGGTGAAACTTAATAGGCAACCTGACTAGAAATGTGTTTTGCTCTTTCTAAAGAATGGTGAAAAATTCCAGGCTTATAAATCATAAAAATAAAGAAGTCCTTTTATAAGAAAGCAGACACAGAATATTATGGGTTTTCAGTTTTTTCCCTGTTGCCTTCAGGCCTCGTTGCCTGAATCTGTCTTTCTTGTGCTATGGGGACTCAAATTGGCCTCCAGACGCAGTTTCACAAGCCCTTAACAGAAGGGAGTAAACTGCTGGCTAGACTCTTCCAGAAGAATACAGCAAAAGGCTAATCTTCATTGGCACAAGTATGATCCTGACTCACGCTCATCTCATTATACACCCAGATAAGTCTAGGGTGTTTTTGCCCAACTCATGGTTTTAGGAGATACCCAAAATGCTCCCAGCCAACTCATGAGTGTAGTAATGGTGACACAGTGAGTTCTATCAGCAAATGTGGTAAGATGTTATATTCCAGAATATTCTTCCAGAAATGTTCATGTATTGAAATAGGCCTCTCTTCATCATGTAAAACCCACTGTGTTATCCTTAAATGCTGGCCAGTGTTTAACCCATTGATTAAGTCTCATGAGATAAGATTTGTATGAACAGCTGAGGGTCAAAGGAGGACAGAAAACAGAACATCTTTCGAGATTGAATCCTGTTTACTGGTTTGTTCCCCTTACTGCACAGGTGATTACTGGTCTTAGCTGCCCTCACAGACTTCTCATTTCCTTTATCTAACCAGACTAGAAATCCTGAAGGACATGGGCAGTCATCATTTGAAAGCAGTGAAGGATGAGGATCCAGAAATGTTTAGGCATCTTTTCAAAAAGCTTATCTTTGTGATAAGAAAGACAAATATAATGTGACAATGAGATACATAGTTGTTAACTGCTTGCGATCTGGCAGGATTCTTGAAGTAACTGGTAGCAAGTGTGGGATTTGTGTGGCATTTGAAAATAGCAGCCAGCTCCCTGAAGGAGTAGTTGGAGCACAGTAATCTTAGATTCTTTCAGCACTTGTGATAGAGAAGGTGTAGCATGCTTGCCAGTTGCATGACTTTACTAGTTTTAATAAGGAAGCCAGATTCTCCAGCTGTTCAAACAGTATTAATAAAGAGAAGGAATCATCTGACTTCATTCATATTGGGTAACACTTTGTCAGTTTTAATAGATAATGCCCTGATTTTCACTGTATCTTTTGAATGAAGATACTGGAAAATGCAGTTCTAAGACAATATCAAAATAGTTGCCATTTATAGTACTACTTGTTTAAATGCATTGAGAGAAGACCGAGTGCTTGAATATTAAGATAACTAAAGTATAGGTAGTTTTCTGTATCCACATCGTTTTGTCATTTTCAATTTTAGAGTAACCAAAAATAAGCTGGGTAGTTTGTATACATATGATAAGACAGATCTAGTAGTTTATGATTTAAAAATCTAATTCTGATATCCTCACATTGAGGGAGGTTTATGTTTAAGGCTAGTGACACTGAGTTCAGTGGCATAATTGGAAATCCAACTCACAGTAAAAATGGAAAAATATGATGTTAATTTTGTCCTAATTTTAAATATTTTTGAGACATTTATACTAAAAGATAGTCCGAACAAATTAAAATGCTGAAAATATTCATATTGGAAGAAAAGTGACACAGGGCAGTTCTTGTAATTCTAGAATGTTTCAAAATTAAAATATTGGTAAGGCACTCATATTTTTGAGCACTCATATTTTTAAATTAAAATCAGCTAGAAAAACAGGAGCAAAAGTTTATCTGTATTAATTATAAAAAATTATACAAGCAGTAAGTTTTACCCATTAAGAAAACCCTTGTTACTTTGACAGCCAAGTAGCTTGCCTATGAGTATAAGAACTGTTTTTATTTTACTGCTATTATAAATATATTAAATCATAACAAACCAATGATACTTCCAAAGATCTAAATTATCCTTTTCAAAAACTGTAAATCTTGTTCTCTTATGGCTTTTTTAAAAGGATTGGTGCTAGCAGAAGTTTTTAAACATACCTTTTTTTTTTAAGGAGTACTAAAATAGAGGAATGACATTTTTAAATTTAAGATTAAAGCAGCAACTAAGAGGTTGCTAATTTTTGAAAGAGTAATTTACAAAATTTGAAACCACCTACTCCCAAAAAAGGACTTAAAATTTGGGTTCTCTTTGTGTCCAATTCTTCGATCAAATTCAAACAGAATGATATATTAATACTATCCTTTATGGTAGTAGTGTATACTGAAGTTTTTCTTTGAGATTGCAGAATTTAACTCTCTGAGCCTTATCTGAAGGGAGGAGAAAATTTTCTTTAATATTAGAGGACAAAGTAGGGAACCTTGAATAAGCACCTGTATTAACATGGGTTTCTGATGAAACTAAAGGAATGAAAAAACTTATTTTGAACATTTGTTTAACAAGAATTCTTGTAATAAAATGAATTTCAGTAGTAAATCAATTGGCATGTGGATTTCTTTTATTTTTTTATGTCAAAACTTCATTTCTTAATTGTATGTGGTAACCTCTTTAAAATCTAAAGAGGACTGCCTCAAGAATTCAGACTGTGAATTGCTTCCCTGATAATATACATTTTAAGTTATAAGGCAAGACATTGTCTTGTAAATTGATGTTTTGTATTCTCCTGTTAAAAGAACATATTTAAGGAAAGGTCAATTTAGAATGTATATGATAATCTTTTTTCAGTTACTGTAAAAACACTGAAATCTTTGAGAGTCCAAAGAAAGCGTTCTTTTTAAAGTAGAAATGATAGGCCGTGTATTTTCTCTCTTTTTAAGCTTTTCCATTTGTGGGTTTGTTTTTAGATACTATAGCTAGAAGGGAAGGGAAGGGAAATTAGCTGTTTCTCAGTGAATCGTGATATTTGTCCTGTGGGAATTAATATATCTGTCTTGGGAATCTACTTTAGGGACTGGTAACAAATTGTTTGGAAATGTCATTCCTGTGTTCTACTAATTATCAATTTTGTTTGGATTTGTTTTAATATTTATCTTGGTTAGTTTTCTTTTAGGGGTCACAGTTTAAAATTCATAAATTAGTCATCATAAAAATCACCAGAAAAGGTACTGGGGTTTTTGAAATTATAATCATCCTGTATGTTGAGCAAAAAATGAGAAATAAACAACAGTTCTACTTTTCCATTTCAGCTCTTGGGTAACAGGAATTCAGAAAATGATGGAATATGTTCAAAAAAAAGTAGATCAATTAATCAGGCAGTGCCCAGATTATAAAGAACTTACTTTGAAGAAACAGCAGTGGACTGCCTTACTTGAAGATCATCTAAATAAGGTACATCATAATATCATAGAATGTTTTGGGTTGGAAGGGATCTTAAATATCCACTAGTTCCAAGCTCCATGGGCAGAGACACCTTCCCCTAGACAAGATTGCTCAAAGCCCCATCAAACCTGGCCTTGGCCACTTTTAGGATGAGATATCCACAACTTCTCTGGACAACCTGTGCCAGTGCCTCACCACCCTCACAGTGAAGAATTTCATCCTTGCATCTAATCTAGACATACCCTCTTTCAGTCTGAAGTCATTCCCCCTTGTCCTAGCACTCCAAGTCCTTCTCCAGCTTTCCTGTAGGACCCTTTAGTACTGAAAGGGTGTCCCATAAGGTCTCCCTGCAACCTTCTCTTCTTTGGGCTGAACAACCCCAACTCTCTCAACCTGTTGTCATAGGAGAGGTGCTCCAACCCTCTGATCATCTTCATGATGATTATCAGCATCATCATAACATGTCGTCTTCTCAGTGCATTCATGAACAGTGAATTGCATTTCCATACTTTAGGTATGCGAAAATTAAAGTTGACTCCAATAGTTACAAGTAAAATATTGGTTTGTTAGAGAGTGCACAGTTGTAGTTAGAATGCTGTTATCAACACAAATGAACCTAAAGCTGTTCTGAAAAATGCAGCTGTTTCCATGAGAATGTTTTACGAGTGATGTTCAATTAAGTGTGGATTTGCTTGGATAACGAACTATTATAATTTGTTCTTTTGGAAAAGAAGTGAGCAATCAGGACTGTGACCTGCATGAGGGTTTTCTATACTGTTTCTATGTCTTCTCTTTCATTTGGCTGAAGATAAAAATAGAAGTGTGGCAAAATTGAGAGTTAATAACCATGGTAACTGAACCACAACAAATTTTCAGTAAAGCTGAAGAAGATTCTGTTCACAATAAAAATCCCTTTCATTAATTAAGCTACCCAATGCATGAAGGGCAGCACAACCTTCTTTAAACTGTTAAAATGCCATGTAGTATTACAGACTTTTTTAATGACTTGTCAGAGATGGAATAAACACGTGGCTCCTAAATAAGTTTCTGTGTGTGAATTCAAATTAAAAAATACGATCTTTTAGCAATGTTCATATGAAGGAACTCCAGAGTGTAGACCAGAAAAGTAAATCAAATTTAATGACTAAATAATTAAGTCTGCAATCTGATCTTTTGTATTTGCATGATGTTTATAATGAACTATTCTGAATCAAACATGAAGTCACTTTGCCACAAATTTATTTATGTATAAATGGTGTAGAAGAGTCCTCATGATTTTGGAACACAGTGAAAATATTGTTAAATTTAGCTGAAAATAAAATATTTGCTGATAGCTGCTGTTAGTCTTCTAGAAATGATGTCACCAGCATCTTAAGCTGAAAGTTCAGTTATTAAGGTAATTTTTACTTAAAATGTAGGCTCCAATCTGAACATAAAGTTTCAGTCTGCTGTTTGTTCTAGTCACTTTGTTCCCAGCCTTGCATTAGAGAACATTTTGGAGACTTGTGTTGTAACAAATGATTTTTCATTGCAGTGAAGAGTGCTTATTGTTATATTCCTACGAAGCAACACGTTTCTTATCCTAACCTTCTAATGCAAAGTATCCCAAAGAATCTCGTGCTACATTCAAGGGCCTCTCAGCCTTATGTAATAAAGTTTGAACCTCAATTGGCAGCCACTTCTTAAGAAAAGTGTTACATGTGAATGCAGTAGTCTAATAATACCTATACGTGCTATGTCTGTATCAGCTGCCTGTACTCTTCATAATCTGTTTTGTTATTATAATGTATATATAACATCTGAGTGACAATTAAATGGAATTCTGTGCATGCATCTGCATAAAAATAGGTGGCTTGGCTTGGCAGAGAAGCTTTATATGTACTTCCTGAGAAAAAACCCTGGAGCAGAATAGAGATATTTCTTCCAGGACTATAACATCTAGATCATAATCCAGTTGTGCCTTAGTGAAATCACAAGCCTGAAATACTTAAGGTAAAGGAAAGCAACCTCAACAAAATGAGAGCAAACAGGAGGGTTTTTTGACCACGCCTGTCAGAATTTTCTTGGGAAAAATAGGAGATTTTTCTTCCTTTATATTTTAATTCCTGACTTTCTCTGACTATATATGATATTAAGGCACAAGTTTCACCTTTTCTTTAATTCTTCTCCGTATCCTGCCATTTGGGGTTGAGGGGTGTGTGTGGGGGGGGGTAGTGGTGTGTGAGTGAGCAGCTGCTTTGTACTTAGTTGCCGACTGGGTCTACTTATATAAATTAACTATGTAAATAATACTTTCAAATGAAGGTGTCACACTCGGTTAAAAAAATCACCCTGATGCTTGCAGTTGGTACGGAGATTGGCTCGTATTTGTGTGAGGTGGAAAGAGTTTTGAACAAACACCTTGAACTGGCTAAACAAACAAAGGTAAAAAACCCTTCAATGATTTTAAGTACTTTTAGAAACAAATGCATGCTGTCTGTAATTCTAAATAAGGTGAGAGACTGAGAGTTTCTTGGAAAGAAAATAGGTCTGTAGTTTATTTTGAAAAGTGTAGTTAATGAACAAAACCATAGATAACATTAAAAGTCAGTCCTTATATCATTGGTTTTCCCCATTGTCTCTGTCTTGTGGTGTTATTTGTTACTGCCTCAGGATTCTAGTACCTACCCTTGATAGAAAGGGATGAATTGACAAAAAAAAGAAAAAAGTAAATCCCATAAGGAGAAACTGTGAAGGGGGCTGTAAAGTTGCCATCAGACATCAATTGGTCATGTTAGGAATGCAGCCACGGTATGAAAGCACTGCAGCACTCAGCTCTGTAGTGAGGCTATTTTAAGTCACATCCAGGGCCTTTCCAACTCCCATAGCAGTACTGCAATATCTGGAAACCACCTGAATCCCCTCCACTGCCTTGACATAGGTGCATATTTCATGCCTAAGATGAACAACGTGGCAGTATGCATTTTAGGACTATGTATTTTGAATTCTTAAAACTCCATTACTCCCACAGAGTTCTCTTTTGTTTCCGGCAACTGTTTATGGGATCCAAGGAACAGGTCCAGAGTACCTGTGGAAATAAAATTCACTTTAAAGAAATTCTGGAGAGCGTGTAGTAACAATATAAAAATCTCAACAGATGAGAAAGAACCTCTTTTTGTTCCTCAAGACCGTATAATAGCTGTTAGGGTCTTTTCTGCCAAATTTTTGAATGGTGGGGTGTTACCTTTGTTTGTTGCACTGTGTTATCTCCCCTGTCAATAGTAACTTCTTCTACCTATTCTTTCTGTGGATTGTGATATGCTAGTTTTCAAAATAGCTATTTTAATAATATCATTTGTAGGAAAGAAATGGATATTTTCAGCATATAATGTCCATTATGAGCTCTTCAAATAAGTAATTCAATTATATAAGCAATCCTAGTGACAATTAACAGTGTGATATCAATATTCACAAGTCCTTTTCAGTCATTTTACGTATTTTTCTATGTTTCTACCCTTCAAAGGAAACTTGGTATGAACTGGAAGCAGCTGAGGGAATCATCAAAGATATGGAAGAGTTGGAACCTGAGCAGGTGGCGGCTGTTTCTAGCAGAACTGAACTTCTGAGTAAAGAGCTGAAAAAAATTGAAAAAAATATTAGTTCAATACTAGAAATTCTAGAAACTTATGTGGCCTTCTTAAAGTCAGCTGTAGAGGTATGGATTACTTATTAATTCTCGGACTAGAGTGTGAAAAATGTGCTTCCATTGTAATCAATTTTAATTTTTCTCCTCTGAACATTTCCACTCTCATTATTTACATAATGAAAATGCTTCCATATATGTACTCTGAATATTAAATGTACTGATTTTGCTTCATATAACTTTAAAAAATATGTCACATAATATGTTGATATAGATACTTATTGCTGTCTTGCACTAATTCCACTGAAGTACGTGGAAGTGCAAGTGAATGGATTTAAAAATTAAATAAAAAACAACTCTAGCTGAAATCACAATCAGTTCAATACCAACATAATTTTGGTAGCTGTGCTAATGATGCCCAAGACAACTAATTTTCATTTTGATCTGGATTCCATTTTAAGGTTCTTCAACAGTGTTTTATATTTAGAAAGAAATTTAAGATGGAATGGAACCTATCAGATAAAATTAGCCATAGGATTTACTTATTTATTGGGTGATAAAATACCAAAAAATTGGATTTTGTCTGCTTCTGATTATTGCTAACTTCAGTTACTTTGTATTAAACAGATCTGTGAAAATCAGTGTCTTGATATACTGGTATATAAAATCCATGTAATGTGACAGAAACTGAGCAAATTGCTGCTATCTGCTTGCCATCTACATGGTCACAAGTTATTTAGAACTATTTTATTATTTGATGTTCATAGAGATTTTAGGGACAATGATAGATCTTAAAGTCAGGAAAAGATTCAGAGGCTGCTATTCAAATTTATCATGTCTCTATAATGTTCTCATTATGGCACCTCAAGTTTTGATTTGATTTTTGATGTTTATGTCTTCCTATAGGTGAATGATAGTATCGAAAACCTGAAGGAATTCTATAAATCAAAACAACTGCAGACAAATAGAGAGGCTGAAAATAAAATTGCCATGGAGTCAGCTAATACTCAGTGGCAAAAGACTATAAAGAAGACTTTTTCCACACAAAATATGGGTTACTATTTTCTTAATTTAGTAAATGTGGTGAGTTTAATCTGATAAACCATATTGAATATTTTATATTTCCCTGTGATGAGGTCTAATCCTAGTTCTGTGACTGATGGATTGTGGTTTCTCCAATACCTAGTTTTAAAGGGACTGATGCTGCTAAATACTTTAAAAATATGAAAGTATTATTTGAAGTAATACTAAAAAGTTTTGTGATTAACAATGACAGAACCCTTAATGATCCAGTCCATGCATACAAATGTAATATGTGCAGATATCTATTTTTTTCATGTTGGAAAGCAACATATATGCAAGTACAGTATAATGTTTACTTCCACTGAGAAGCAAGCAGTCTTTATTGATTGAGTGTATGAATTCTTCTAAAGAAATGGATGTTAGAGCTACTTACAGATAATCTTTCCTGTGTCTTTTCATTCTTGGATTCAGCTACACTGCCTAGGCATCCCTATCTAATTTTCCAACAACCTTTCATGAGTTGATCATTTGAGATGTGCAATCATTCCCTGCACCACACCTCCTAAACTAACCCCGATTAATGCAGACAGCCTGGATAACCAGCTGTTCTTTCTGGTTTTATAGAACAAACTAGGGAGCAGTTACATAAGTTTGAGAAGGGGAAGGTGATGTTGGTAACCTGCAGCAGCTTGGAAGATGACCTGGGAAAGCCTAGGGAAGGAGGGAAAGTGCTCAGGCTGTTAGTGTGGGCTGAAGTGTGTGTGTCACAGCTGAATGGAACCAAGCACAGTTAAAATAGTCAGAGTAATGGCAAACCAAATATGTGTGGATATGAGGCTGCACTTTGGTCACTGAAAATCTTAACATATATTCAGGTTTTATCTCCCTAAAGACCTGGAAGTGTTTTGACACCATTTGCTGCTACCCTGTTCCCATGATATTCTTCAGTTGTAGCATTGAACTACCTGGAAGGTATAGCGTGGAATACTAGACAGTTTAGCCCTTCCATGCTTCAATGCTGCTTGGTTTATCAGCACAAAGGAGTGGTCTTTTCTTCATCTGCTTTGTTTTCTAGTTGCTATTTATTCCCCAAAAGGCCACTTAGGGTAGTTCTGTCTATTCAAAAATTACTGTATTTTGTATGAGTGTTAAACAGCCATCAGATGGCAATAATTCAGTCATTACTGACCCATTCTAGGTTTTAAACTCCAACTTTAGAGATGTCCTCAGTATACAAATTCTGTTGATCTATGCTTATTTCTAAGAGAAAAGTGTATTTAAATGTTACAGAAATCTTAAAAAAGTTACACTAGAATAGCTGGTTTTTTATTAAGCTTTGTTGAGACTTTAGTATCATGAGGTTTTAATTGTATTTTATAAAAATATATGTGGGAAAAAAATGTATCTGTTTATTTGCCAGGTAAATGAGAGTTTAATATTGAAAGTAGAAAAATCTGTGCAAGTAACAGAAGATATCATTTTAAATCTGAATAAAGAAAGGAAAGAGCTGACTGAACTTTGGGCAATCTGGAATTTTAAAATTACTCAAGTAAAACCCATCAAGCAACAGTGCCAGATATTTAAAGAACAACTAAAAATTGTAAGTAAAATAGCTAGGAAAAAACAACTGTGATTGTTATTCATTTGTTTGTGACTCTCTCTAACTATTTTAGATATCATTTAAGAAAGAGTGATGATCAGTAAGGTACTTACAATACGTCTCCATAGTCTGTTCTGCCATTCAGTCATCAGGAAACATGAAACGTTTTTGTCTTTATTTCCCTTACTGAAATACATACAAGTCCTAGTCTCCACTTCAGATTTTAAATTTTAAACAAGTTTAATCCATGCTTTACCAGCAATATTTTTTTTCTTTTGCCTTTTTTCTTTCTTTTTTTTTTTAAACCAACATTTTGTTGTGACTAAATAGATACTAAACTAAACTGTGTCCTAGTAGTTACTAAACTCAAGTCCAACCATATTCATACAGAAAGAGAATTGAAGCCTCTTTGGCACAGGGACAGTGTGCAGTGCTCCGTTAAAGCAACACTAGCTAGGCCAGTAGCAGAACGAGGTTTGTAGCCACTGTTTGTCTAGTGCAACTTATCACTACACCACCACATCTGTTATCACAGAAAATACAGTGTGCGTATGGGTCTTCTAGTCTTGGTGCCTGAATTGTTTTCTCAAGCTGTCTTAAAGGTTCCTTATCACCCTGGTCAGTCAGAGGGTTTGAGACAGGTAGGCTTCAGTGACAGCATTTGGGTGTCTGGTTTGAGAAAGTTCTTATTACAATTTAGATTTGAATTTAAATGCGAGGGGTTTTATTCACTATAGTTAGAAATGCTTAACTGTTTGATTATATTTTAGACTACCTGTGGATTAGAGATTCTTCAAGAGGCTCTCCAGCTTGCAGAACCAGTTGACCTTGGAAGTGACCTTTTAATTGTTTTGGAACTACAGAAAAAGATGAACCAAATGAAACCACAGTTTCAGGTGAGAGATCAATCTAGTGGAGTGAATGGTGGATCAAAAGCTCTTTTTGGTCCAGTAAAGATCCACATTTATATTGACCCCAGAGACTGTCTGGTGTTAGAGTGTTTTGTGTTTTACATGACTTTTCAAGGAGGAAGGGTTTGTGTGTGTTTTTAAGGTAGGGGAGAAGACATTTTTTCAGTGTTCACAGAATGTGTGTGAAGTGTTAGCTATGTATTAAAGTGACACACAAGCATTGGGATGGTGGAAGTTCAAGGAGAGTATCAGCTTCGTGCTTTTGAATTTAGAGCTGCTGATACTTTATCAGAGTACTGATACTTCAGGCTGAGATAGTTCATACTGAACTTCCTACCTCCTGTGAATACTGTCTGAGTTTTAGCAGTTCAGTGCCCTATAATTATGTTTGACTTGCTTTCATCCAAGGCTGTTTCTCAGTGACAGCTGAAATTTGTGTCTAGCAAAAAGTTCAGTATATGGAGACTGTTTTAAAGTGTATGGCATTGACTTTTCCCAAAGGCAATTTACAATTGTCAGATGGTTATTTCATCAAATGTAAAGGAAAAATTGCAAGTATATTTGTGCAATTTGATTAACTTCTGCTATTTTTGCTAGCAACTGAATGCTGAGCTTGAGTACCTGATAAAATTATTAGAATTGCCAAGCCAGAAAGGATTTCCTGTGAAAGAGAATTCTGAAAGAATAAGTGAGCTTATTCATTTCCATCAAACAGTAAAGGATGCAATGATAGAATATGATGAGATTTTCAACAAGACAGTCAAATTCCATCACATTAAAAAAGAAGTGAGTATTATTTTTTAAAATATACATTCTTCCCATTGCAGTTAAACTCTTTTTGTGTTTGGTCCCTGTTGTCTTTTTTTTTTCCTTTTCCCCGAAGAAATAGCATTAATCAGCCTATTGAACAGAATAAAATTTTGGATCTAGAACAGCATGAAGTTTGTAAAATTTAAAATTCAGATCTGAACCCAAATTTAATTACTTAAACCCACCTCAACAAAGTTTAGGTGGGTAAGGAAGAAATTGTAAGCTATTTTAAACACACATTGCTTTATATTTTTATGTATTTCAGCTGGAATGTCTATCAGAATCAGGAGAACTGGATATTCCTGAAATATGTGAGGACCCTGAAAATGTGCACCATGCTAAAGCCTACCTTGTGAATTCTCAGGAGAAACATGCACATATTAGACAGCTATATAAACTACTTATTACCCAGGGAGTGGATATCTTGTCTGCAGTGCAGCAATGTGTGAGTATAATTATAATGATTTGTGAAATCAAGGATAAATGGGGAAGATTATTGGAGCTATCCGGCTGAATTTTAGAGGTATAAAAATGTATTAATTCTCCGAGAAAAATAAAGAGCTTTAAGATCAATTTTAAATAAAGCAAGGTATAAAATGCAAAACAGTTGATTATTATAAGATTTCTACCCTTAGAGTTTGAAGATATACAATATTATAAAGTATATAATATATAAAATATATATTTAATGTTTGAAGACGTTAAATGATGAAACATTTTTCAGTAGTTACATTATAAATTGCTTTTGTAAAGAAAAAATAATTTCTTTGAATTCTTGTTTTCTTTTTTCAGGGGTCTGTGAACAGATTTTACTCTAGAAAACTGAAATAGATTTGAAATAGGGAGGAAATTGATCCTAAAATATCATTGGTCAGGGGAAAAAAAAAAAGCACGACTTTCTGTCTTCTAGTATTTTTTGTGAAGTTCCAGGCCCTGATGGTGGTTTCTTGGATGCCACATCTATATATTAGAACCCTACTACCTTGTAAAAGATGGTTTCCATATTTATTCTCCTATAAAGAAAGATAACAGAAGAACAAAAAAAGAAATATAATAACTGTGTTACCTTATTAGTGGATTCAGGACTGATTTGCATGACAAGATGGATATAATTTTAGAAAGAAGGTATTTAGTCAGGGCAGAACTTTCATTGTCCTGTATTAGTATATTTACTTAAGAAGAAAGCAAGACATTCCTTATGACTTGCCTAGCTTATTCACATTGCTGGTCTGCCCTTCAGACTCCGTGTATTGATTATGGCAGAAAGGAGCTATTTAGCAGGTTGTAAAGGACTATAGTGGGTCACTTCCTCTTTTCTCAGAGAGGACACCATGTTTAGGTTGTGACTTTGACCCAAAACTACTCCCCAGACTACTAGTGATTGAAACTCCTATATACTTGCTCTCCTTACAGTGGAGGTTTAATAATTTACTCTAGTCCATTGTGACTGACAAAGCATGTTCTGCCCCGAATTATTTTTATTTTAGATTGGTTAAATCAATACATTTCTTGAGATCAATAAATTTCTTTCTCTATTCCCTGATTAGAATTGCTTGAATGTTTCTGTAAAGAATCTGAAGCAAGAACTTGCTAGATTTGAGTGTGATAGCATTAACTGGAACTCCAAAGCTGATAAGTATGAGGAAGAACTGTCACGGCATTTCCAACACTGCACCACTCAAGAGGAGATAAATGAGGTAAATGTGATAAATTCCAGCATATTAAATGACTGTTTAAAGGGCTGTTGTGTTCTATATCTCTGTTTACCATTCCCCGAAATGCTTCATGTGTATCCAGAAAAGCAGCAACCTTGTATCCATGCAGGAGCAATAGTATTCTATGTGCCTCTGCAGTTCAGGATTCTATCAAGCTGTTGGGCTGGCAATAAAGTGCTTTCACTGTACCAAGAGGACTGGAAATAGAGCAGCTATATTTTCTTTGGCTTTCAACTCAGCCAGCTCCATCTGAAACATGAGTCTTCAGATTTTTTCTTATGGAGCTAAAGTTTCAAACAAAAGTAGAATTTATATAAATTGCTGTTGTAAGGCTATTAGAAAGAACTTTCAGTATTTTAATGAAAATTTCAGAGTAATTTAGTACTTAACACTTTTTCATTAGCAAAAGATATGATACTTTAAAAACTTATAGGAGGAAAGGTTCATTGGCACAAGAGACTAGAATTTAGCATTATGGAACTTAGGTTAGGAATATGAAATTCAGTTTATATGATTACCAATTTAGCATCTTGGAAGGCCAAATACAAATCCATTCACAAATTAGCAAGTTGAATTGGATAGTTGTTTCTGCAAAAAAATTAATTTATGAAAAATATTTAAAAGAATTAATTTTCTCAGAGTAATCCATTAAAATAAGAGGCTGATGGGCTCTAAACTTAATGTTCTGTGGTTTGCACTTCTCTGCATCCATGAAGTACAGAAATGGATTCTGAGCTGGAAGTATTGCAAACTAATGTTCCCTACAGTGTGAAGCATATGTAGTAAAAATACAGCACATTTAAAGTTGTATTTTCTTATTTTTATCTTTTGCTAAGTAAATCCACACCCAAGTAAAGAAAAATTGTATTTTCTAAAATTCACTAATGAATAGACGACTGAGATTTTTGTCCCAATTATTTTTAATGAAAAAATTATTGTTTGGATTTTCTTTTCTTTTACAATATATTGTTTATTTATGAGAAGTGTCTGTTTTCACAAAAAGATAACTTGAAATTGAAAAAACACATTCATCAAAAATATGTTTTTGAATATCAGTTATACTTCTAGTCCCTTTTCCAATTATAAGCTGTGTTTCACTTTGATCTTTTGTGCGTCAGTCTCCTGTGATGTCTCCTTGACTGATGGTAGGAGGTAACAGGAACAGACGGTGGTAAGGAGAACTCTGGCAGAGGGAACCATGCTGTAGAAGAGAATGAAAGCATGAAGTACCTAAACAAGAAGTTCCATTATAATGCACAGTGTCATGGCAGAATCAGAATATTTGACATTTGAAATAAAGTATTCTAGTTAGGTTTTTACTGAAAACCCCTCAAATTTGCTGAAGAAAAGGAAATGTTCACTGAGCAGTCTGTATGTAAGACTGGCCGCATTCAAAGACACACTGTTAAAGGAATCCTCATTACATAATGAGGGCAAGAGAACATGACTCCTTTCTAGGAAGAATTATTTTTCCATTTTTATTACTAGTTAGACTACCAGGGAGAGCAGGGAGTAGAGGAAAAAAACCAACCTTCTGTCTCTCAAATTTAAATGAAAAGTCACATCAGTGATGTGTTACTCACCACATGCCCTATATGGCAAAATGTGTGTTTTGTCTTATAGTTACTGGACACATGCTGTAAAATAATTGCATAGCAATTACAATGTTAATTATTGGGGTTTATTTTGTTTTTCAATTCCAATTGGGAAGCCATGTTGATTGGTTAAGTTAAAACCTGTCATCCCCCAAACCTCATTGAATCTTGAATGTAAACTAAATGAAATATACTAATTTGGCATGTGGATAACTTTTACTTTAGAATGCTTTTCTATTAGAGGATAACATAAAGATGAAGATATTTCCTAAACAAATATTTGCCTTTTTTTTTTTCCATTAATATCTGTTCAGGGATCAAGAAACCACTAAACTACTTCAAGAATATTAGTTCTGAGTAGTCACTTCAGTATTTTAGATTTTGTTAATCTTATAATCAGAAATTGAGTATTGCTAGTATGTTGCAGACCTGTGTGAACAAACAATTTATTTACTATCAACTGTGTCTAAGCAAAAGAATATTTAATGTGCCAGCAGCAAGCAGCAGCTGTGCATGACTATCACATAGTAAACATCCAACCAGATAATTTAGTTGTGATTTATCAGTGTACAGAGCAAACTTTAAAGTTAACTGAAAATATTTCGGATTCTGCTGTAAATACTTACGTTAATTTTATGTTTAATGTAATTAATTTAAGTGTGTAAATACAGCATGTCAGAGAGGGCTTTGGCGATTAGGACTCAACTGGTGTTTGAAGAAATACTTAAGAGGCCTTGGCTAGCTCCCTGTGTTTGTAACATATTAGTGCTTTTATAAGAAACAAGGAAACAAATACTGAAATTCATAGCCAAGGATCTATAACATGAGTTTTGAAACAGTCTTGGAGGACAGAAGAGTAAAATGCATGCCTTTTGTGTGCCTTCTCTAATGTAAAGAGAATTTGGAAAGGCCCCAAAAAAGAATTTATGCCATCTACATCTTTTAAAAGTGTAAGGAAAGCTCGTAAGGCTTTTGGAATCTGTATTTGCCAGTTTGGGCTTCTTACTTCACTGGCTAGTTTGGGTGGCAGCCTCTGAAGAGCCGCAACTCTCCTGCATTACACTGCAATCATTTGTGATAGAGCTGAGTTCAGCCTCAGGTAGCTGCAGCTTAATACTACACTGAATCTGTTCATGGAATTATAAGTGAGACAGTTAATTGCATACGATAACTTTTCCAATGAAATAGCCTTTTCTTTAGGTGATCACTTCAAAAATAACGTTTAGGCACGTCTGCACAAAACTTGCAACAAAAGAGTAACAGATCCTGAAGTAAGTTCTCAGCTCTCTTCAGTCATCTAATTTCTTTTTCATGTCGTTATTTATATACTTATGGAAAGACATGACTGAAAATATAGATTTTAACCATAAATGGTAATGAACTATCACAATGGTAATGACTATTCACAAGTCAGTAGGAACTGATATGTAACACATTTCTTACCTTGCAATTTATGTTGATTGTTGCCCCAGGAATAAAGTAATAATTAATGACTTGAACAGCACCTTTTCTTTCTTCCCACTTTGTCTGACTGTTTCTTAATCTTTGTCACTTTAAAAATCTATTTTCAGCAACCTGCTTTCATCGGGTATTTTGATTATAAATGCTACTAAATGTTTTATGTATGAATATAAAGGGAAAGTTGAGGGGTTAACAACATTGAAGTCCCTCCTAGAGTGGCTCACACAAATCAAAGCATTTACTGGAACAATACTGTTAACAAAAACATGTTTAAAACAGGTTTTTAACTTCATTTTTCCATTGACTTTGTAGTCATATGATAAATTGGAGCAATTGGTACTTAAACCCTTCTCCTCCACTATCATACTCAACCTATGACAGGGAAACTATAGTTAGGAACAGCTTCCTGATTAATGACTGTGACACAATGGATAAGGCACAAAGTTCCATTAAACCAGCAGGCTAAAGTCACTGAAGCGTATTAGGATGCATAGTTCCTTTATTATTTTTCATTTAATCTTGCCAAACTGAGATACATTCAGATTTCTAAAAATTGGGAGCCATATGTTGTCCTTGGTACAATTGCTGCTGATAGCAGGAGTTGTGTTCATGCACTCTGAGGGGATGATGTACAAGTGTGAGCTGAATCTGATTTTTCCACTGAGGCTAAAAGAGAAGAGTGACAGCAGCTGCAGACCTTTGACACATGAGCCATCATGTCTGAAACAAGGAGATCTAATTTCACATACAGCTATGAGGAGAGCCTCTGGCCTTATAAATTATCACTACCAGCCTATGTATGTGCATAAACCAGCGAAATAAAGTAAAATAAACTCTTGTTCATTTTTTCTTTCCCTCAAAATTGAAGCAACAAATAAGGCTCTTGTGGTCTGAATAAAAAAATATTGTTCTGCAGAAGCTATTTTATTAACAGAGGGCTTTTAGATAGATTTTATTATTCTGCGTACTTAGGCAGGGTAAAAAGCTTAAACTAATTGGAGATCACAGTGCCAGTGATAGAATTCCCTTCCTTTTCATTACACTGAGTGAGCACCATCTGTTTAATCACTGCTGAAATAATGTGCCAACATCCCACTAGATGAAATGAAAATGAAAAATATATCCCTTGATGGATTAACATTAGTATATAATAACAATAATGGTGATTGATTTTTAGCTATTCCAATAACAGTAGCTGCAAAATAAACATTCATTACTCACTGGATTCTTTGGCAGGGAGGAGGAGGGGGGCAGGGGGAAGGCCATTGGACTTTTTAATATTAAAAAAGACTCAAATACATATTTAGTTATCAAATTGTGGATGTGACTTGAACTTGTTAACACTAATTAAGTTACATTCTTTTCATTTATGTGTCTGCAAGAATAGATCCTAAAACGTTAGAACTGCTGCATTTCTTTTCTATCAGTGTCTTTAGACAAATGTAATTTTACATAATTTATTCTACATTATCCTAAAAGCAAAATATTATTTACCTAAAGAATCTGACACTCTTATAATCAGTATTTCAGTCATTTTTATATTCTTCCATTTCAAATTTTATGGATTAATTATAAATAATTTGAAAATGTGGTCATGGAATTGTAATGCAATTAAAATAGTACCTATTTTAAGCGAGTTTTTCACTTGTCCAGTGCTTGTCTGTTGCTTAAAGAAATTCAAAAGTAGTTGTAATATCTAACAGAATTTTTTGAAATTGTAAATAAAATCAGAAATTGCATAGCTTTTAAAGAAAAAATATAAATAAAAATGTGCTTAAAATGTCATAGTCCTTTAAAAATTATGTTAATCCTATATCACTCTTTTTTTTGATGTATATCAACTCTTTCTGGTAAATTGGCAATGCATCTGATCCATATGTGTGTAAATGAAATTGTAGCTTTCTAGAGGTTCATTGCATCATTCCTATAATTCTGGCTTTTGTAATATTTTCTGCAGGTTAAAGAAAATATAGCTATATTCCATCTAATTAATGAGTTTTAGAGCAAATTTAATATAACCAGATTTAATAGTAGTTATCTCAGCTGATGTAAGTCCATCTGAAAAGGAAGGCATGGGCATCTAAATTGGACCTACTAGTTCATTACAATTTATATTATTGTAAGAATAATTTTCCCTGGTGTTGGGCTTGCTGCACCAAGTCAGTGCTAATTGGTAATAATGCTATCACATGGTACCAAATCTATCTAATAGGAGTTAGGCGGGGCTTTCTGAATCTGTTAAGCAGGATCTCTCAGCATAGTTATTCAAAGGTCAGGTGGTTATATAGTCTACATCTTGATCCTACAAAGAGCTGTATCCCTCTTTGTATGCTGTGAAAAACTGTACTAAGATGTTTGGACTAGCACAATGCATAAAATTAAGCCCATATGTAACTTCTTTTCAGAAGCAGGACTTCGGAAAAAGGGGTGGGGATGGGATAACATGCCAACAAAAACAAACCCCAACCTGAAATAAACTGAATGTTGTATTGCAGGAGAAAGGTACAATGAATAAATACAAATCTACTTGCCCAGGCCCAGCAAAACTATGTTTTTCTTGAAACTAAGTATGGGTATACATTTACATGGCTTTCTTTTCCACTAAGTGGACTAAAGTGTTTGAAGGACATCTAGCTAAAATCAATGAAAACTCTTGGTTAGGATTTTTTCGTAGATTGTCCAAGCAAGGATCTCATCCTTTGCCCCAGTTCTTTTCTTACCCCACCCATTCTGAGAACAATACTCTGCATTCAGAATGCAAAAATTTTGATTTAGCAAGATTGAGTTTTCCATTACTGTAAAAAATTCTGAGGAAATAAGGATGCTTTATGAGATGGCACAGTATTATTAATTTATGTATTAAATGTTAAGTGTTAAAATTTTCCATTAAACAGCTCTTGAAAAAACCTAGATCGATGTGTGCTGATTTCTTCTTTTTTACTAAAAAATAAGCTTACTCTGTTTCAGCTCAAAGAATCGTTTAAAGATCTCAAAAAGAAGTTCAACAATTTGAAGTTCAACTATATGAAGAAAACTGAAAAGGCTCGAAATTTGAAAGTACTTAAAATACAGATTCAGCAAGTTGATACATATGCAGAGAAAATACAGGTAATAGAAATTTTAGATTTAGTAAAGGCTTCACTGGTTGAATTACTGTGGCCTGTGCCAAGCACATCAGAGGAGACACAGAATATGTTATAAACTTCCCTGTTCCTCAGCTTTATATCCTTCCCCTTTCTCAGTCATTGACTGAGACATTTTTCGTTGTTCTGTTCCCATTATTCTTCCATTTCCTTCAGTGAAATGATCTTATCTCAATTCCTGACTTCTCTGTGTTCACTCCTTTTATCCTTCGTTATTTTTCTATTTGATTTTTTATTCTTGCCTCTGTTCCCTCACATAATGTGTGACCTAGTCTTTCCTCTCCTTAAAAAACCAAAACAATTACCTTTTGCATCAAGCTACTTTCTTGTCTTTTTCATTTCATCATGTAAAATGAACTTTTTTTTTTAGAACATTTTGCTGTATCCATTGTCTGGAGTTGATCATGCTCATTTGCAACTTAGAACCCTGCTAGCCTTACCCATTCTTTGTATTCACCAGGAACTGTTCCTCCAATGACCTTTTTAATTGCAATTCATGCATGACCATGTTTTATTACTACAGATATTTGTTTTTTTTTTAGCTGAAAAAAGTTACCTCAGTTATACCTTTAATAAAGATAATTTACATTAATTTTAATCAGCTTTGTGGAGGCCCTCCAGTTTTCTTTGATTTTTGAAACAGAAACTTTTTAAAAAAACACAGAACAAGAAATAAGTTTGTATGCTTTTCCCATGTTTTTTTGTTTAATTTTATTCCTAAAAATAGAAACATTTTTGCTATGTTATTTTACATTGCTACATCTTTTAAACAGGTTCTTAAGAAGAAGATGGATAATTTAGAGAAGCAAATCCTTGACTCTTTTGCAAATAAACCTAATGCTAAAGTTAGAGTCCTCTTGGGATCAATCAGTGACTTACAAAAACAACTGAATGACTTCAGCATTGTTGTGGAAGATTACAAGCAAAATCTGGATCTAGCAGAGCAATTGCAACAGATGATGAAAGAGGTACTAGTAAACCTGAGATCCCCACTGTGGCTGTAATAATGATGCAGGACAGGGACAGATAAAACTTCCTGTAACTGCCTCAGGCATAATCTGTGGCTTCTGAAAGTAATGAATTGGTAAAAAACCCCTTATTTTCTTTGTTGTTTCTTTGTAAACTCGTGGTGAAAGGGGGAAAAAATGTGCAATGTGACCATATTCAGGCGACTGGGGTCTCCACCTCCATATGACTTTCATAGTCATTCAGCATATCTATAATCATACTTATGAGCTCATTTTCTCTAAGTGTGCTCTGAGGCAACACAGAAAGTGCCACAAGGCCCTCTTTAATAGCCATCAAACCATTAGAGACAGGTTATCACAGTACCCACTGTGTTTTATGTAATTCTGGAACTGAAACGTAAAATATTTAGTTCCTTAGCAGGAGCATATAAATTGTTTTTAATAGACTAAATTGTTGAGTATATATATCATTTTTTTCTGAACTGCAGTCTGTCTTTTTGGAGACTTTCATAACTTTATTTTAATGTGTCTAAGGACTGCCTCATGCATTGCCTCTTTTAAAAACAAAGAAAAAAAGTTTGTAACAGTAATATAACAGTGTTTTCCCCTCTTGCCACATTGTGTTGGCGCTCTTGCTGTGGGACAAGCACATTCCTGTCATCATTGTTTATTTTTAGAAATAACACTGTTCATATCTCCAAAGGGATCTAAGTGCAAGACAAGTTCCCTTAATGATGGATCACAAAACTAAAGTTTTTTTTAAAATATGTTTTCAATGTCCAGTGATCTGATCAATGTTTTTCATATACCATTAGCAAAGCAACTTGTTAACATTTATTGCACATTTACATTTTTAAACTCTTCACTTAACCAAAATAAATTATTTCTTAGAACTGAAGTTTAACTGTTTTTTTTTTTTTTACTCAGTCTGAAGTATCCCTTTTTACTCAAAACTTTTCTTTCAGCAAATAGGCACAGACTTAAATACTGATTTCAATGGCAGTTAGAAATGATGATTATTAACTGCTTCCTGTAGTGGTGCAATACTGATGATACTGAGTGAACACCAAATTCTGTCCTGTTCTGAGTATTGTTAAGGTGTTTAATGTGGGTATGTTCTAAAGCCTATTCTTGTCAGTAGAAAGTTTCCTCACAACTTTAATGGTTGCTGAGACCAAAAACCCTGTTTACTGGCACAATAAATTTAGAGAACCTTTCTGCCCTTACAACAGAATAACTGTGGCCATAATACAAAATTTTTGAAATTAGTCAGTTGATATATAAGGTGGAAAGAAATAAGAAATAAAACTTATGTTTGCAGAACCTTTAACCAATAACCTCACCATGCTTGCAAGATGAGCATGGGCGAATGTTTAATGAAAATTTAACAGCTATTGATACTTGAAACACTATTAGTAGTGAAGAAATGTTTTTCAGGTTAGATTAAAGTCAGAAAATTTAAGACATACCGTATGCCACTGATTATGGAAAGTCTAAGACTAATCCAACAATCTAAGACTGTTCTACAACAGCTTGAATTGGAGATAATAAGTCATTATAATGCAGATTTTTTATCCCTCAGTGTCAATTTTGGTTTGAAGATGTGAGTGCAACAGTGATTAGAGTTGGCGAATATTCTGCAGAATGCAAAACAAGAGAAGCAATAGAGACACTCTATAAGCAATTCAATAAGTTTCTTGAGCCTACAGTGCCTCAACAAGAAGAAAAAATTCAGCAGATTATGGACCTTGCTAAACAGCTTTACGGTGAGGAGATATCTGATAATGTACTGTTGGGAAAAATATGGTAACTTGTAAGCAGATTCCTAGATTTGTTCATTTAAGAAGAAAATCCCATGAAGTTCAAAAATCAAGTGTTGTTTTCTAGTATTTGCTGGAAGAGGTGAAGGATTTAAAAATAAATATTTACAAGAAATAAAAAATATGTACTATACAGTCTGATATTTACTTACTTTTCTGTATACAACCTAAGTTCACCTTGAAATAGGAGAGTAAATGTCCTTGTAATATTTATGAGCTTGGAATTAAGACTTCATGGCTTAAACTATCTCATAACAGGCAAGCCTTTGAAGTCAGAGGATATTATAGGGATATTGTATTGATACCTCAGTGCCAAGTTAATTTTTTACATTAATACTGTGAATAAATAGTGCGACTTCATTGCCAAATTTTTTTAGCAAACAATATAGATTGCTATGTAGATACTGTATTTCCTATTGTATTGATTTGGAACATCATTGACCAAAAAAACCAGAAGTCAAAAGAAGTTCATATTTTGCTTTTTTTTCCCCTCCAACTTGTAATTTTTATATACTTTATAAAGTTATGTTATCCAAAGATAAGGTGACCATCCTGATGTGCAAAGATGCTGTGTAGCCTATCAATTCAAGTAGTAAATCTGAAAAAAATTTCAAGAGTCAAGCTGAGCTTTTAATTTCCTCTAATTTAGTGCTGGAAAGACAATGTAGAGACCACAGATCACTTCTTTTTCTTCTCTCTCTCTCTTTTTTTTTTTTTTAAGCCTCTTCAGTATTTTAAACATTCCTATCTGTGGGAAAGGAGGTGACAGAACAGATTCTTGTCAACAGCTGATTAGGAATGCCAGGAGAAAGAAGCTACTTTGTGTTCTTTAAGTCATTACAAGGGAAAAAGCTTCTCTATCGTGCCTTTGTTTTGTACTTCTTATAACAGGCATCTAAGTGCCTCCAACTGTATAATATGGCAACTAGTTTAGGAGACACTTTATGAGATCAGCATCTTTTAAAGCAGTATCACTAAAGAGATAGAAGCCCTGTAGCAACTATGAGAGTAACATCTCAAGTAAGCTAGTAAGAGGTAGGAAACCCCATTGCTATGAATCACAGAATTCCTTCAGCAAAACAAAACATAGAAAAATGTTGGGGTTACAAAGTACCTTGATTGTTACACTGATCTGTTTGAGGCATTCTGTTCTACTTTCATGTTATTTTGCCTTTGTAGGTATTGAAGAAGGAAAGAAGCATGTTGAAAAAACTGTATTGAAGTACAAAGAAATCATTAATTCTGTTGATGAGTTGTGTACAGCTCTGAGAGAACTTAAGGAGATAAAGGTATTTTTTTTTATCTGGAGAATATATTGCATCTACATCATCTTCTTGGGCTTAATGTCTGAAATGGTGTTTTTAGCTGAGGCTCATTTATGGCAGTATGAAACACTTCTTAATTTTCTCTTTCCCACTACCTTTGGTAATGATTGTCATGAATCAATGAAGCGCTACTTGTTTGTGCACTAAATATTTCTTCTAGGTTTCTTTTTCTTTGTTTCTTTCAGAGCTGTTACTGCTTTCAAGTAACCTTTAGAGGAAAATGTCACAATTTCTTTGATTATCTAGACAAATGCACTGTTTTTCATATTTCTTATTCCTTTGATACTAAAATACAGGTAACTGCTCGATATACAAAATGCCAAATAACTTAGCTTGGCTCCCTCTTGGAGAAGACATCCCAAAAAACAAGTTGTGTTAAAACCAAAGTAATTTGAGTTAGAAAAGCATTGCTTTTGACATAAAAATTAAAGAAAACCACAACATCTTTAGTTTCATATTCTGATAAGCTGCTTTAGGATTAATTAAGTATAACATATTAAATGAGGAGGAATTATGGAACAAAACTGATAGGGTTAGATTTCTGTAATGAAGAACTGCTACTCCACCTCACCATTCTCAAAGTAATACTTGAAAAATCTCCCACATATTGCAGTAGCTGATGAGTTAATTCTTCTGTGAAGTTGAAAAAGTTAAGATGCTTACATAGCCTGCTTTTAATACTTAATGTTATTTCACTTTTCTTTGATGGAATTATACTATAAAATTGACAAACACTCAGTTTATTCATTAATATCCTTAAAAGTGGTAAGAGATGCCAAAAACATAAATGAGTTCCAAAATTCATTAGGTGAGCAGAAAGAAGGCTTTGCCTTGCACCGCGATAATAAAGAAACTTCAACAAAAACACCAATTCAGTTTTTCTAAGTTCTTCTGCCAGCCCATGTATTACATAAATGCTATTGTGTGCAGGATGCTAGCACCAGATTCTGTCAAAACAGAACCTTTCATCTTTTCTGCTTGCTCAACATAATATGGTCTTTTCAAGAGAAGTGGAATTTCAAACTAATTGTAATAGTTTTGTCTAATTTCCATAGAATCGTAGAATATCCTGAGTTGGAAGGGACTCACAGTGGTCATCACAGTCCAATTCCAAATTTTGATAAGTTTAAAGTTATCTTTCATCAAAGAGATGTTTGGAGAACACTTTTTTTTCACACAGCACCATTCATAAACTACTGAAAGTTGAGTTTTCCTGAAATCCTGATATTTTTCTGGATTTGTTGTTTATCCTCTTTTTTTTTTTCCTAATAGTTCTACTTTCTTAATCATTTGTTTCCCCTTTCTGAGATTGGGTACAAAATTGGTTAATATTCCTCAGATTCTTGAATAGCCACTGGAATTCTTCAGTCTTTGGTATCCTATAATTTCCTTGCCTCAGAAAAGATTCCTTCAGCTTTGAAAAATATTTTCTTTGCTTATCCAGGAATGAATTAATTAGGTTTTGCTGCATTTCTTTGCCATAAGCAATTTACACCTGTGCTGATGACAGGTTTTAGGTAAGATTTCACTTCTTTTTTCTTCTTTTTTTTTTCCTCTGCTGTACAGAGCATAAGTCAGTGTGCAGCCAACAATTGCTACTTTCTATTGGATATAATCTTACTTGATTTTCTCTTCACATGGCAGAAAGTTGAGTTTTCTGAAGAGTTGGTTACTGTTAAAAAAGAAGAAATAAATGGTCAAGAAGCATGTGAGACTGTTAAAGGCAAAGCTGTGGAGCAAAAGCAGCAGGTTAGTTATATGCTTTTTTTTTTATAACTAGAAGTATGTTTCTTAAAAAACTTCGTGTATTGCTGGAAAGTTTCTTGCTTTTCTGTCTTGAAGCCTCTGTTAAGGTGGGTTTTATCCGTGCAGTCTTTGTCAATTGTTTTTGAGTTTGTTTCAGTTATCCCTTATCCTTCTATACAATCCGCATATTCTTCCCTTTGAGGTTTTTTTTTTAGTGTTCTTACCAATTTTTCTTTGGTCCTATTGCCACAGAACCGTTAGTGTAGATGTCCTCTTTGTGTCCATTCCTCCTGGAGGAAGGAGTACATTCTGCTCTCTCCTTTGTAGTACGACTGAAGGGAATATAGGAAGTAATAGAGGATACTGTTGTTAGTATGTCCCAGAGCCCTAGTATTCATATGATGCCTAGATATAATTTATGAAAGTATTTGATTTATAAGTAATATCCTATGAGAGAAATCTCATAGCTCAGAATTTGAGCTAAGTAATGGTGGAAGTTATGATAATTTGTTGAATCATTAATGTCTTAATCAGGAAAAAAAAGTGGGTTTTTAAAACAATTTTCTTTCAGATGGCATCAGGTGAATCGCTTACAAATTCAGAAAGCGTTGCTGAGAAGAGAAGCAATACTCTGTCTCCTACCAACACTAAACAGGTATCTATCCGCTGTTCATATTAATTTATTTTTAATCAAATTGATGGGCATCACTGTGTACTCTCAAAGGAATTCTACTCCTTACTTTGCTGTGTCTCAAAAGTGAGGACTATTGTTATGGATTGGTGAGCTTTGATTATATTCTCATTTACAGTATTACCAAAAAACCTGAAAAAACAAGCAATTGATTGAGTTTAACAATAATGGAAATAACAGGAAAGGATTCATAGCGAACACGACGGAACACAACTACAGCTGTCAGCAGTTCAGTGTGACATTGTATCGGATATAATTTGCTGTACTGTTGGTGTGACACTATACATCAAATGACAGAACTCAGCATCAAATAGTCATCTTTGCCTTCATCTGAAAACAATTAAGTTCCATTCCAGTTGCCAAAATTCTGTGCAGTGAAGATCAAAAATAAGTTCCAGAGTATGGATTGCATACATGTTGAGGATGATGCAAAAAGATTAGATAATGAAAGACTGAGTATGCATTTAAAATGGTAAAAATCCAAGCAGACAAGCATGTTTTATTCATGGATATAGAGTAAATGCATATGAAAGGTTCCAAGTTGTCAAAGAATAAACGAAGCCTTAGAAATACAGTGAATACTAAGCCAGATCTACGTTTTATGAGATTACTTTAGCTTAAAGAATATCTTGAAGGCTTGGCATCCTGAATGTAAACGGAAATAATTTACTATGTAAAATAGTCTGGTAAATTGGAGTGGGTGCTAATGTATTTAACTCCTTGGAAAGGTAGGATCCATTGGTAACTGATTGAGAGATCTAAAAATTCCATTTTACAAGCTGATAAGAAAAAATGAATACTACAAGACATTAAATTGTGATGTTTTGTAGAAAATCAACTAATAGCATTCCCTTCAGTTCAATAGAGAATGTCCTGTCATTTGCTGATGAGCCAAAATTAGGCCTAATTAATTCTCTTACCTCCATTCCAAGTCAGTGGGAATTTCACCATTGACTTGGAGCCCAGATTTCGCTCAAAATTTTGTGACTGTTCCAAAGAGCCTCCTTCAGATTAATCACCTCACCCAGCAGATGTCCATAGCCCTATTTCCTATTTTGCTAAGCCACAGCTTTGTCGGTCCTTGTCAGACTGTGCCTCAGCTGCCAAGGAGAGAAGTCAAGGGTATGCGAAACAGCAAATACCAGATGTGAATTATGGCAACCATGATGCCTCCACCTTTTTCATCACTCCATACTTCATTTAAAGAACTAGCAGGCTCTTCTCACTAGACTTCTGTTTCCATTCTTTTGAAGGAAAGACCTGGTCCATCTCCAGCCTCCTTGTCTAATGGACCAGCAATCTCTAATTTTTTCTATACTTCTTCAAGCTACTTTTGCAGTATTAATTTGCTTCAAATATAACACTCTAAAAAGTGAACTAGATCTTCTCCTGGCACATTGATCCTCCTGCTTCTTTAATCCCAAGTGACACATCAGGACTGAAAGTTCTCATACTGTCAAAGCCTATATGACAGCTCACTCACTTGCTGCCCACCTGTCATTCTTTCCCACAGCATTTTCCCCTGAGTCATTTTCCAGCTCTTCTGGGTTCAGAGTTCATGATGGGCTGCTTCTGGAAAACACATTTAGTAGTCAGACTTGGAATTCATCCTACAACTGAATTGAATTATTTGGTAAAATAGACACAGTAAAATCCCAACCTTCTTCCAGTCATTTATTCATGGATCTGGCATGAATCACATGGCTTTGAAAAAACAAATGTAGTAACTTGGAAAAACATCTATATTAAAACTAACATATCTAAAGGACCAGGGCACATGTGAGGTTCTATTACTTCTATTTATATTTTGTGCACTAATATTAGCTTATATTTAGAGCAGTAAGGCCAAAAGAAACACGAAACAAATGTACTGCTACACTTTTGTACTGGATGCTGCCAAAGGGGCCTGGTTTTTAAAGCAATGGCATCCAGTGTATCACTCAGTTGATTTGAGTGGGCTTAAATCAATGTATTTATGTATTTTAATGTATTTATTGGTGATAGACACCTTGCTTAGTAGATTACATATTTTTGTATAGAACTCAACATAAGAAAACATTATGAATACCTTTGCTGAAAGCCTTTGCACAAAGGAAATCTGAATATGTGATTACACATTCATGTAAAAATCAAGAGGCAGAGAAGTAATTAACAAATCAGATAATGTTTTTAATGCTTTGTGATTAAAATTAATGCACATCTGCCTCACCCAATTCTCTTTGGAACATGATGAAAGGGAATTTTTTTTTTCTGGATCCAAGATAACATAAAAATAATTTTAACATTGCTTTCCCTTTTAATGTTTGGCAGGATCTTGGAACAGCTGGCAAAATTTAAAAAAATGGAGGAAATATAAATGGCTTGGAAAATATTATAAAGATGTTGGTTTAATTATTTGACCCTTGAGCATGACTATTTTTCCCAAAGAATCAAAGTCCAGCCACTTGACTGTTAATATATTTTTATCACTATGCAATTGTTTCCCATTTAGATGTAATTAGGCCACCTCCTCCCTCACCTTCCCCTTGCAAATGTTCATATAAACAGCACTTACAGAAATCCACAGGTTTTTGTTTGTTTATAGAAAGAGGTAATTTCTCTTTTGCTGTTACTGTTATAATAAATGCCTATATATAATTAGAATAATGTCTTCTAGAATCTATTTGAACACTTTGAAATTCCATTTTGCTGCTGGAACATTTTCTGACAAATTGTCTTTTTCCACACATTTCCTTTTGCTTCTCAGAATGCATTAGGCTTAATTAGAAGAAATATTATTGCTAGATTCTGCATGAGGGAATGTATTGAATGATAACTCTTTCTCTCTCTTTGTTTTTCTTTTTCTTCTTTCCTTTCTCTTCTTTCCTCTCCTAATTCAAGGAGAGGAATATATTAGCTGATATTCCAGTTGTCTGTCCAGCTGGTGAGGATCTTATTTCACAGGATACAGAGCTGTCATCTTCAGCCAAAGAGGATAGTTTACAGACTGGATTCCTGACAGAAGAAATACTCTCCGGAGATGAATATGAGTGTATATCACCTGATGATATCTCTTTGCCACCACTTCCTGAGACACCAGAATCCAACCTCTTACATTCTGAAACAGAGCTAGAAGATCAGTGCTGTTGTAGTTCTCATAGTCTGCATGTCAGCTCCTATAGCTTGCAAATGCAGAAAACCACTACAATGAAAAAAATGGTGGAAGTGTCTGATCTCTTAACAAATTCTGCTTTTGCTGATGCTACAATTAATAGAATAGAAAGCCCATCAGATTGCTCTGAGAAGTTTTGTATCTCTTTAACAGATTCTGATGCAAAAGCCAGAGCGGTATCTCCTTTGACTTGCAGCTTACAAGGAATATCTGAAACTAGCACTGCTTCCTGCACTGTAAAAGCCAAACCAGTATTTAGCATGATGAGTGAAGTGTCCAAAACACATTTACAACACCTTGAACTTCAAAAAAGCATGGCAGAATCACAAGAACAATCGCATGACTTCAATAACTGTACTAAAACCTGGGACAGGCTGCATGCTTTGCCTGATGCATTCTCGGGTTTCGTGTTTCAATCAGACACCACCAGAAGCTGTCAGAGGCAGATGGTTACCCGAGAAGAGATTAAAAGTTCATCAGAAAAGAACAGCATGGCCAGCCTAACTGGACAGGCGCCTAACTTCTCCCAGATTCTGTCTAACAAAAGCGTCATGGAAGGTTCTCCGGTAACTTTGGAAGTAGAAGTAACGGGATTCCCAGAGCCTACATTGACATGGTGGGTAGCTTACAATGAGAAGTAGCAAATATACCTAGTAGCAAGCCACCATGAACCACTTATAACCAAATCAGTTAATATAGAGACTATAATAAAGGGCTTGTATCCTTTCTACTCCACACTACTGCATGATTTCCTCCTTCAAAATTCCTATTGACAATTAACCAACTTGAAATAATCACCCTGTACTTAATTTTACAAATGAGGGTATCAAACTACTCCAAGCATATCTGATTATTTTTAAACAAATACATCATATAGTTTTTATATGCTAGAATATCACGTCTCGCTTGTTCAATAATTTCTTAAAATAATTTCACACTACAGATTTAGCAGAAATAAATTCATTTGCATTTTCTCAGGGTCTGGGCACTATGTATGGACAGACACATAGATGTGTGTGCACATTAAAGTATTTATATAGTGACTACATATATATTAAGATAGGTACACATTTACACATATGTGAGTCAGTCGTCAAAAACGAGAGGTTACAGGTTAAAAAATCCACCTAAATATCTACATTAAGAGAATCAGTTTTATATGATATATTTATGTGCATTCTCTCTTAATTGCTATATGTCTATTTAGATTACTTTATACTGCATTTGTGAGAAGTACAGATGATGTAACATAAACTTCTTTTAGGATGACTCTTCCCTACCAAAAGGAATAGGGACTAGAAGAGGGACAGGATTTCAAGATTTTGGTAGTAGTTCTATATGTTTTGGCATGTATTCTTCCAATGTTACCTCATTTGCCTTTTCTCCACTTATTCCATTAGACTTTCACAATGGAGGCCTTTCTTTTAATGTATTAAAATTAAATATGCCTCTTACTGGAAAAATTTTGATGTTAATATTATTATCACATATTTGAAGAATTAAACTGTAAGTTTTTGGTAAACTGAAATTTCTTCTGTTGCACTGAGAAAAATACTGGACACTGCAACCTTGGTGCTATACTCTGTTGGTATCAATAAAGTTACCTTGTTTTAAATCCCAGTATTGCACAGATTGAGGAATATTATTGGTGAAACAAGTGGTACCTTAATTTTATTGTAAAAAAGCATTAATTTAGCTTGAAATTATAGGCACTGTTGATATAGGCACTGTCTTTAAAAAAAATAGCATTCAACTGGAATCATTTTGCAAATTAGAAATTCATGGAAATAGAAAAAAAGATGTTTTTTAATTAAAAATTAACCAGTAACATGTATTTTGTACTGATATAAACATTTTTATTAGATATTCATGTGGAAAAATAATTCTGTGGTTGTGTTAGACTAAATGTAGCTTATGCTGAAACATCACAAGGCAAGAGACGGAATTTTCTCTGATTTCCAGTATGTAAATCAGGATTCAATACCAATACATAGTGACAGGACCTGAAGTGTTAGAATATGACACCAGTTCTCTGAAGTAACTCCTGATGCATTGTTCTGTCGTGTTTGAAGGTGTGAGCTAAGTAAACGTTAAATGGGCTGGGATGGGGGAAGGTCCTTGACTGTCCTTTATACTGAAGACACAAGTTCAGAATATTTGTATGTTGAGCCTTAAAAGCTATTCATGAGTTGGATGCGGGTTGACTCAAGATCGTACTAGCAAAAATGCTTCAGTGCAAAACTGAGGGCCCAGGCCTTCATGTAACCTCTCTAATACTGCAGTGAGATAACTGTGACTTGTTCATGGAAAACCATTTTCAGAACTACATTTTCTAATGTTAATTATCCAGCAATTTGCATTGTTTAAGTGTTCATCCATATTGACAGATTAACAAAACTGAGAAATGAGAGCATAGCAGTGAGCTCTGTCTCTTGCTGTCAGTGTAGGGCTATAGGGATTGTCTGAATTTGCGAAGTTCTGCGTGGCATACAGTGATATAACTCTGACTTGAAAACTGACTCTCTGCTTCAGGTACAAGGAGGGCCAGAAACTGACTGCAGATGAGCACTTAAAGCTTTTACAAAAGGAGACAAAGCATACTTTGTTCATTCAGAAGGTGTGTGATAAAGATGCTGGCCTCTATGTTGTTCGGGCTAAAAATTTGAACGGCACTATGTCATCCAGTGCCATTCTTCACGTGAAAGGTAACAGGCCACCTATTACAAGAATAGACTGGATAATGCTGTGTGTCATCTATATTAGCGTATCACTAATGTACTGGCTATTCACGAAATAAGTACGTTATCAACTGCACCAGACTTAATTCTCACATGCTAAGACAACATTAAATTGATTTTTGTACACTGAATCTTTCACAGTATGTACAAAACCACTTTGATGGCACAATGGACATATTACTTGTTTCTTTATTACCAGTATTATGTGCTTGTTTTACTTTCTCAGAGTGATGTTGACATAAAAAAAGTTATGAAGATTTTCTAGAATCTGAGGCTGAGTTTTGCTTTCTAAAATTGTTGGCATTACAAAGTGTTGGAAACAGTTGTAGGTTTCAAATGTCAATATACACCCAGGTAGAGTGTTCCAATTGATGTATATTTTATGAATTTTTTTTTAAACATAGACTGTATTATTTCCAGCCATGTTATTTTCTCATATACTTTAAAAAAATAATTGTAGGATAAAGCTTCTTACCACTCATGATGAACTGACGTAGATCAGATTTAAATCTGTCTCAGCCCAGCACAGTCTCCACAAAGGAAAGGTGCAGCAGTTCCAATAGAGTTGTGATTGCCTGTACTACAGAATTGACCCAGAATCATCAGGATTTGTGTAAGTGGCATCTAACACACAGTAGACCAAACGTCTACAAAATGAAATGTTCCAACGTACCAGTCAGCTTAAGTAGATGGCTGATCCTTTCTCAGCCTTCTAATAAAATTAAAGATACACATATTTCTAATAATTCTCTAAATGGTTAGTATAAGACAAGAAAGTTATTAATTTATGCAGTGAGCATATGTGCATGTTTAAAATTTTTAACACACTGATTTCAAGCAAAATCAACCAAATTAGGGGAATATTCAAAAGTGTATTCAAATTGATCACCATAACTGGTCCACTCTGGCCTCTAATCGGGAGGCCTGGAGACACACCATTTATAACGCTGCTGATGCTTTTGAGAAAGCACGCAGGATCACCCTTGAGGAGAAAAGACAACGCAGAAAGAATCGAGCCTTGCAGACCATCTAAGGAGTCTTTCTGCTGTGTCTTTTGCAACCGGACTTGCCTCTCTCGTATTGGCCTTTTTAGCCACCAACGCGCTTGCAAGAAAAGTGGGTAGAGCCCTTCCCAAATCTTCGTTCGCGAAGCCTAGCCATGAATGAATGAAATCCAAACCAGAACTTTGTTTGCCTACAAGTTGCATTTCATTCTTGACAAGGACAACCGCAACGATTCTTTTTTAATTAAAGTTCTAATTTGTTTAAATATTGCATAAAAATGACTTAACAGTGCCAGGGGAAGAATTAATTTATAAATCCTCCAATATAACTTAATTCTTTAACTTCAGTATTTGTTGTATTTGTGCAGTAAAAAGAGTTGATAACCAGCTACATGATTTTTCCTGTATCTTTTATTTCCAGCTTTTATGTTACAACAATATTGGTATGGAAAATTTATAGAGAGGAAATATTTACCTCCTCTTGCATAATTTCCTGGAATGAAGTAAGCCTTTTACTGTGTAGCATGCTATGAGCAGAATATATATTGCAAATTGCCAGAGGTCAGTGAGATGGAAGACTGACATTTAAACATTTTGTCCCAGTGACTGCAACTTGATTAAAATTCTTGTAACTTTGAAAAAGGAGAAGTTCCCAAGATGATATAGCTTCACAGCAATATGAGAGGGAGCAGGAGGAGGAGGTGGTGAGCAGATGGGGGTACAAATAAATTCTAACTAAAATTGATATTATGTTAAATGAACCACTTTCTAAGTTCCATCATGTCCAAAAAATGTAGATTTATAAGAATTTTCTTAGGTATAAAAATCACCTGTTTTCCTAAAGTGTATTTGTCATTTCACAATAAAGCTAATTTTAATGATTAATATGATTTTGAATTTTTCAGTTACCATAAAAATCAAATGTGACTTTATGTATGGTTGTTATAAACATGCAGCAAAGAACTTATGTGACCAAGCTGACTTGCATAAATGGTACATTAAGCACTATTTTGCTGTAAGGTTTTTCCTTCTGCAGAGCTACCAGTGCTTGACAATTTTATCCCTTCAATCATCTGTTTTTACTGAGAGTTGCCATCATTCAAAAATTAAGTGACCATGGGTGTTCTTTTGACATATTCTAAGTAACTTTATATAGTAGTCAGCTCACTTTTGAGAATGTTGTCATTTTTGCATGTCAGTTATTATAATTATTAAATGCAAAAAGGTATAAATATAAGGCCAGAAATTGCCATAGCACATCTTTAGATCTTAATAACTCATTGTAGAAGCACATAATACCCTTGTTTGGTAAACCTTTTCTCTGAGAATTTGAACATTTCTGTGGATTTTAGATTAACAAAATTTGATTTTTGTGACTACGGTATTACATCTGATTTCAAACAGGAATAGTTTTAAATGGACAGTTTTTAATGGATGAGTGGATACCAGCCACATTTTTAATTGCTGCAAGAAACAAAATTTTACAAAGAGTGATTAGAGGTACAAGAGGCACAGCAGGACACTGAAAGTCTCCTGTTTTTAATGCTTTGCTTTGTAAACTAAGATGTACTCAACACTGATTACTGCTGTGTTGGCAGTCTGGGTTTAAATGCTCTTTATTTAAGGACTCTAATGAATATCCAAAAAATATTTCCTGGAAAATTCCTGCTGTTTTCTGTTCAGATAATCTAAAAAAAAAAAAAAAAAGAAAAAAAAGAGTGACAGTGATGTAGTCTCATGAGGCACTAATATTTCTCTGAAGGAAAAGAGCACTCATTCTGTTTCAGCAGTAATTTTAACATAATGCTTCCTCCCCCCCCTGTGGTTTATTTTCTATGTTATGCATGCTTCTCTTCCTCCTTCTTTTAATCATGATGTAGAAGCAGGGAATACATGTAGGTATGTTGTCTTGGTTCTTTCTTGTTTTATAGTGCTAATTTCACCTCTTCACAGTCACAGTTTTAAACCTATATTTACTTCAAGACCTCAAAATGTTTACATCTTCCTGATTGCTCTTTTATAGAGCAGATTTAAATCTCGGTCCCTCCATCCTCACAAGAAAGACATTAGGCTACACTCCCCTCCTTCCCCATATGCAGACATCCATTAAGAAAGTGGTGAAAGATGCTGCTTGACTACAAGATCTGGAGTCATGTGAAGGGGTGTTTACACAAGGTGCATAAATTTGAAGGGGAAAAGGGATTAATTATTTTCATTTTTCAAGAGAAGCAGCCTGTCTGAGGGCCCAGGTTTGAGTCAGTAGGCAAAGGAAGGATAAGCCATTACCGCGGGTCGCTTTGGATCAGATGTGGCTGGAGCTGCAACGTAGAAGGTGACTTCCTCTCAAATGACTGGTAAGGTATGCCTACTTCTGGACCTTTCTCTGGAGACTTCTCTAGGGTAAGCTACTAATTTCTGTGTATGTATTATCTTTTGTGGTCCAGAGGAACTGTGTCTTTAAAAATTATTGCCAAGACTTTAAAGAGGCTACATATGGTATTCAAGGAGACTGCAGCTCTGAATTATGGATACTTCAGATCAATTGGGTCATGAGACCCACTGCATATCCCTTAATAAAAGGATCCTTCTGTTTGTGTTAGGAGCTTAACTGAGACAAAATCTCTAAACTATAAAGTGCAGTATCTTTATTTAGAGCCATACTGAGAAAATCCAAAGTCTCTGAGCAATATGGGGGCATCTGCCTAGCCTAAACTTTTAGAGAAGACAGGGGAAGTTGATAAAATTGCTAATATCACAATTCAAGACATCAGAGATTGGAAATTACATGCCCAGAAAAAAATAATTAAGAATAACTCTGAAGCAAATTAATAAAAATAAAGGCAGCTGAAAACAATTTGGCTTGACCTGGTACTACCTGTGTGTGAGAGAGACTTGGGGCAGGGGTGAAATCTATGTGATAAAGACAGATGCAGGTGATCTCTCCACGTGCAGTTTTTGCATTGATCCATGTGGATTAGTTTTCCATGCTGATTCCCCAATTTGTAGCAGAACTCTACTGGTTCCTACAAATAACTCATGTAATATTTAATATTTGACAAACTTATTGTCTGAAGCCATAAGAGTGGGATTTCAGTGCACTGTCTACCTGATTTTATTTTTTTCCCAAAATGCAGGAAAGGGTCTATTCTTTCTAGCCTTTGTGGATTCATGGGATGTCCAGCCAAGAAATAATTTGTAATTAACAAGTTGTCTTAGGTTATTCTGAGGTTTTGTTATGATATCATTGGAAAACCATGGTGTAATATAACAATCCATTCTATTTTGAAGGTTGCTGTCAGAGAATGAACTCTTCTTTTATAGCAGACTTTGTTTCCCTGTTGAGTTCAAGCCCATGCCTGAAAGAGTTGTAGAAACTGTCACTTCATGGTTTTATTTGTGCATACTTTTCCCTTCGCTCTCTAGAAACTGGTTATTTTATTTTTTATGTTCTGCTGCCTTACTGATATAAAGTCAAGATGGGATCTGATCATTATCACTATCACCATTCCACCCAGATTTTTTTCAGTGGTAAAAACCATCCTGGTATGAGATGCAACCTGACTTCACAAGGTAATACAAACTACACAAGTAATGGAATCCAGCCAAAATTATCACAAGGAGTGGCTGATGCCCACTTAACATTTTCCACTGGAATATAAGCTAATCATGTTCTGTTTTTGACCTATTGCCAACTGCCGGCAAAGAGTAGACAGGGGTGTAAGCTTGGTTCTCTTGCTTGAAAGGAAGCTGCAGAGCTCAAATTTCTGTGCTTCAGGTGCGTGCAATGCAAGGGTAGTGGCAACTTGCACATGCTAACTTTCAACAGCTAAGAACTGAGTTGTTTGAGCTGCTGGGACTGGCTAATACAGACCTTAGGTTAGCACAAGTATGGGAGAGCAAAACTTATATTCTTCTGCTTTTCATTGTGGCCTCAATCCTGTAGTATCTGGAAAAAAACAGAAAAGCAGCTAAGCTTGGAAGCTTATTGCAAGTAAGAGCTCACCTAAGCAGTGCGTCAAAATGTCTGCCTCACCATGCCAGCAGGCCCACATTTGGCAAAAATAGCCTTGAGCTCAATATATTTGGGGTTAGAAGTTGATGGGCACCTGCATGAGATATACTGATTTTTGTTTCATAGTAGCACAAAGAAAAAAATTTCTTCATAGAACAGTGGATGGAGTAATACTGGCATAGCAGTTTCAAACATTTAGCACACATTTCAGTAACGTTCTGTTTCTGAGAAGGGCAGTGATAACTTTTGTTAAATATTATGAAAACATGCCACAATTTATATTAACAAGGAAGAAGGACACATGCTTTATGTTATAGGAATACAAAATGTTCGGTTTTTTTGTAGTATATGTCTTTGTGTGTTCTTCTGTATGTTAACATTTGTTGCTTTATATTCTCTGTGTCAAGAATACTTAGTCTGAATTCTGAGGTTGTTTTCTTTTTTGGAGATAGAATGTAAGTGGAACCTCAGGTAGTAGTATAGTGATTCAGTAAATCTCGCTTTACAACTCATTAGGTTACAAGTCACAGTAAGCAATGCTTTTATTCAGTACAAACTGATGGTGATCATTGAAATTTCTTCAAACAATTTTGATGGGTTGATTTTTATTGCTCAGGCCTTGTACTGGCTCAGATGCCATCTGTCCTTCCACAGTTGGCATGAAGCTAGCAGGAAATCAATCTCAGGTGCTTTGGGTGTTACAGTAGAAAAGCAATTATTTGCCTTGATCTGAATCAGGTTTGTATTGGATGATCTGATACATGGTTTCAGCATTAATGATGGCCAAATGATCTTGGTCAAAGTAGTAGAGGCATCACATTCTGACCTTCATGTTGTTGCAAATATAGATCAATTTTCTTTCTTCTTAAAATTTTTTGACTAAAATAATAGGAGGGGAAGTGAAGAAAGAGCATGATGTACAACAATGCACTAAATGCAAAATTTTGCTCTCATGACTTTCTCACTTTAAATTTGTGTGGAATATTAACTCTTCCACCTTTACTGAAACGTAATAATCCACATAGACTTACCTACTACCTACACAAAGAATATGATTCTTTAGCATTTTCATGAATCTAATATTTCTATGCTGATGCATGAAATTTTTGGGTGTTTAATATTCATATTTTCCAACAAATGTTATATTAGATAGATAAACTATGTCTGCCTATTAGTTTCCTACTGTCTTGCAAACAAGTTATCCTGAGTTCCAGGCATCAATAAAGGCTCTCTTTGTCTTTCAATGTGGTGAACTTTATGAGAACAGATTTATTTTTCAGTTACTTTAGTTATGCCTTTTAAAATAAAGTGAATATTGATTTTATTTAATTTTTTTTTTCCAGTACAAGGAAAACAGCCAAACTTCACAAAAAAGTTTGGACATAGAACTCTACAAGAAGGAGAAGATTTATTTCTGCATTGCACTATACATGGAAAGCCTGAACCACATGTCTGCTGGACAAAGGATGATGTCCAATTGGTATCTGGTGATATCAGTGTATGTTCTAAACATTCTTAAAATTTTTCTTGGGAGAAAGGTAATTTATTTTGCTTTATGCTACTAATAATCTCCTCTGTGCCTTCTCTTGTTTTACAGATTGAGAAGTTAGGAGATACCTATTACCTTTTAAAAAGAAATGTAGTCCTTGCTGATACTGGGAAATATATCTGTCTTGCCAGAAATGAAGTTGGAAAGGCACACTGCTCTGCTTTTGTAACCGTGACAGGTGACTTGTCCTGCCAGCTGCATGCTTTTCAGCACCTTGTTGCCATATTAAATGAGCAAGTTGTTTCCACTAATGTACATATTTTGTTTCAGAGAAAAATATAACCCCAGAAACTTCCAGTGTAACTCAGGCTAAACCAGAATGGAAAGATGAAAACTTCTCAGAAGAGAATGTCACCACGACTGAGCTCATACCAGCCCATGACACACAATGTGAGAGAGATCAAAGAGATCTCCCAGTAAAGTAATTTGCAACTTACTCCCTGCTACAACTTGTGCTGCTGCAATAACTGTAAGGACCTTAATTTACAAAGCACAAATCAAACACTCTTCCTAATCTTATGAATTTTGGTATAATGTAAATGAAGTCCATAATATGTGACTACCTTTTTCACTTAATTCTTCATCAAAAGATATGCAACTGTTAGATGAAAGACCTTGTAATACACTAGACAATTGAGTCTATGCAAGGTATTTAGGTTTAGTGAAATAATTTTTTTGAAATCTAGGCCTAGATCTTAACCTAGATATTATTGTAAGAGTGAAGAGCTCAAAGGTACAAAATATTCCAGAAGTTCAAATTGATGGAACTACATAAGCACGTAAGTAAAGTTTTCTACTAGACAAGTTTAATTCAGAAGAATAAACAGTAGTCCTAATAGCACAGGAACAGTCATTGTTCATTAATTGAATAAAGATAACAAATCTTCCCACTACGCAATTTCAGAAGATTAAATAAATGAGATACGTGAAGTCACCAGTCCTTGTGACTTCTAGCACAAGATGAAATCTTGCCTCCTCAATTTAGGCTCTGATAAAAAAGAAAGAACAGTGTTATTTTGTCTTTGAGTTCTTGAGGTTTGTCTATCTAGATGTAGAGAACACAAACACAGAAAGAAAACTATTGCATATGTTGATTCAAAAGCTTTGTTTGTGTCATCATGAGCTGCCCACACACTTTCCTTCATGTCTAGCTGATGAAGCATTGATCCCACATATTTTGTTCAGGGTTTTGATTTGTTTTGTTTTGTTTTTTGTTTTGGTTGGTTGGTTGGTTTTGTTTGGTTTTTTGTTGTTGTTGGGGTTTTGGTTTTTTTTTCTATATTACTGTGGTATGCCAGGTATTCCTAAGCAAAAAGAAAAAAAAGGAGGCATGAAAGATCACAGTAATTTTACTTAAGACACATAGAAATTGTATGATTAGAACATGTAGGCCATACAAAAAGGTCAAATTTATCCTAATTTTTTTCTTATATCTTCTGTTTTTTATAACTAAAGTGCCTTCTGGTAAATAACATGAGATTTAAAATATTTTTTTTGTCTGAAATCACTCTTGAGTTGATCTTTAATCTTGTACAGTCTCGGGATCACAGAGAACTGTCTATGCCACCATTAAAAACATAGGCAATATTAACTGACCTTTTTTACACAGGTTTAAAGAGAAACTCTGGCTTCAAGGAGTGTATTTTGAACTGGAGAGGCCACAAGAGATTAGCTTCAATTTGAGACAGGATCCCATTCTTCTGCATGATGCAGTGGAACAGAAGATGGACTGAAGTGCAAGATGTCTGATTCTTGAGTGTGTTCATGTTGTTTGCTGTGTCCATTAGTAGATCCTGGCCCTGGGTGAGGAGAAGATGAATCTTTGAGTGCTATCCAATATATTTCTAGGTTACAATTTGTATTTTGTTTCTTTACAAATAAATCCTTACTAAAATTCACTTGTGTACAGCCTTTATTAGGCAGTGATTTATAATTTTTTAATGGTTTTGTTTGGTTTGTTAGACAAATCTAACAAAAGATAATGATAGAAAAAAAGAAATATTAGCCTTTAAAATTACATATATCCTTGGTCATTTGTCAGTACCCACTATTTTACTGTTCTACAAATTCCATCAATGCCATGAATTCCGTCAGTAGATCTTCCCACTAGTTTATATATAGAATTAGGATTTAAAACAAAATGAGCTTATTCTTCAGTTTATTAAATATAGAGTGAATTGGCATATTTCTAACACCTTTGAGACATTTTGAGGAGGCCAGGCACCAAACAGTGTGGTTATTAATATTAGCAAACCTTGTCTAATGTATAATCAGTACTGAGTGTCTTCAGGGAAGAGAGAGTCTCTCTCTAAGGCAGCATAATAGAGGTCTTCCACTCCATTGCTTCTGCTTTCAGGACTAGATTAGTGTGACAGTACAGTCCATTTCCAGTTGGTGCATGTCATTACAGTCCAAAGGAGTGTTCTGTGGAAGGATATGCTACTTTCAAAGCACATTTTTAGTTTAGCTGACTTTTCAATAACAGGATTCTTCAAGAATCACAGCACCCATTCAGGGTATAAAAAGCCCCTGAAATTGAATATTTTGGACTGTAGGGGAGTCATTAGCATGATGAAATATTTGTCTCCATCTCTTGAATTCAGAGTTTAAGTGTCTTTTTCAATTCACTGAAGAGCTTTTTGCAGAGCAAGATGTGGGCTTTTGTCGTGTCATCCATTTGCAGCATTGAAAAACGTAGTTCAGAAAACTCCTCATTTTGACTGGCTATTTGACTGCCAAAATAGGCAACAGGGCATCTAGTTAGACTTGAGAATAACAGTTCTACAGCTTAAGCCTTCTGATTCAAATTGTCAAAGGCCTACCTTGTAAATGATTCATTCTTCTCAGACCTCTGCTTCAGGCTCAGAGTGGCTTGGCCAATGCTACAGATACATGTGTATTGTGCAACTCCCTGTTGTTCAACATTCTGTGATTCTTAATATGCACATTGGTTAGACCTACTCTAGTTTTGCATACCACAGCAGTGCACTCACACTTCTCACAGAGAGCAGAGAGAGGTGTAAGAAGTGCAGCACTTTTGTGCTTCGTTCAAGTAGATGTCATTTGTGCAAAAATGGGACTGAAATAACATGTTTGAGGATTGCTTAAATCTTATCACCAAAACATTAAATATTTTTCTCCATCAAGATGCAGGTTCAATGGTAGAAACTTAAATTTATCTCCAATTTAAAGTACAAGCAGAGAGGAAATGAGCCGAAAAAAAATATCAGGTACATGTCTTCACCTGATCACATAAATCACTTGCTTGACATTATGGAAAAGTCAATGGCATCCTGCCCACAGAAGAGTCACAAGGCTACGTATATGTGCACATAAATAGAGTAGCTGAGGACTGAGGTACTTGCTCTGCATACTACACTGTATCTCTCACAAAGTCTTTTCCAAAATGAAATGAAGACAAGTATCTAGCCTCTCCTGGATTCTATACAATTACCTTTCCTGACTAAGCCCCTTCTTTGCACATTATTTGGATTTAAAGATGTCACAAAAAATATTGTGTTTCTAACTGTATTGACATTCAGAGGACTGGCAAAGTAAATATCAGATGACCACTGCCCTCTGTTTCCCTTCCCCCCAAAAAAATAATTATAAATGCCCTAAAATTAATGTTCTTTCCTCTGTTGGAATCTGTTAGTATGGCATATTTTCCTATTTAGAAATCCATTCTCTAGAAATGAAACTGTAGAATGCCATGCTTGCTGATCTTGGGTGCTCATCCTGTATTGGGTTACTTTTGCTTTTCCTCTTGATTGTTTGTGAGAAAAACTTTAATATTTGAGGTGGGCTTTTTTCCTGTTGATTCACAAAACACAGCTTTACTTAGGAAAAAGAAAAGTGTTAATGCTTTTCTAAATAATACATGGATCAAAACAGAAATCTTTATATCTGTTCTTACCCATAATTTTCTTACAAAATAGTAGACTGTGGTGTTTATAAATAAATAAAAATCCAGCAACCCTCTTTTGCCAATGAGGAAAACAAATATTGTTACCAGGGAACGGATCCATTATCAAAAATGGTAAGTGTGTTTGTTTCTTTTCATTTTATGAATCATGTGTCTGTGAATTTATTAAAAGCTTTCCTAAATTGACAGAATGTATGTATCTATTAACTGCTAAGGACTGTCTCAGTGTTAGATGAAACTTGTCCCCAGTACAATGATGTTAATTAGTGTTTTGTGGAAGGAAGTGGAACAGTTAGTGAACATATTGTTTACTCAGTGGCCAGGTTTTTTAGTAAGGCCCTGCTTTCTAAGATGAAGAGCTGAGCAAGTAATATTTTTATCCTTTCCTTGTTCTACATATGTAAATATGTGAGGATGATATATACAGAAATAATATACAAGGAAAACTTGTGAAAAGTGACATCTGTAAATCTCCTTCTTAGGTGTTTCCAAGGAGATGATAACTCTCTACATTAAGTTAGTGATTAGGACCCTGAAAGTGTGCAGTTTCCAGTAAGTTCCTCACATATGAAACAGCTAAAATAGTTTCAAAAAATGCTTATTGCCTTACTTATCTCTTCTGCTTTTGAAGCAACTCACAGTGCCCTCTTTAGTAGCCATTTCTTGAAAACAAGTTTTATTTTTTATTGAAAAATATTAATATATCTTGCATAAGCAGTTGCAGTGGCTCAGATAGGAGTTGTTGGGATCTGAAAATGTGACAGCTTTTCAGAAGCTGGCTGCAGCAGAAATATGTGGACATTCTTGAGAATATAATTCAATTTATAGCCATTATTTAAGGTTCCTAAGGTGCTACTACGTAGTACTGCTTGTTGTATTTGCAGGGGAAGAGGAGTTGATGGAGGTGGTGGAAATCTGTTTTGATTTCAGGTCAGGATTTATTTGTTTAACAATTAAGAATTTTTTACTTATTTCTAAGTTTAAAGAAAGAAAGTGTGTGGGAGGAGGGAAGGTAGTATTTTTTTAAAAATTGTACTTGGAAAACTGGAAATTCAGCAAAGATATAGTATATAAGTACATTTTGGGTTCTGTTTTGTCACTTCTTTAAGGATTAAGGGTAGCATCTCATCAGTGACCAAATTATTTCATTCATTTCTCCTTTGCTTATGTATATTTGGTTGGAAGACAGAGTGAAATAAAAATAATAAATGAAAGGAGATGTAATAGTTATTGTATAAGAAAGAAAAGGACAAAGAATTAAGGGAGTGAGGGAAAATGTAAGTAGAGAAGGAAATGGTAAAGATACTGATTCTTTTTTCGCTGTTTGTAAATTAACGTGTAAATAGACTAAGGGAGCAGGAAAGAAAGCAGGGTTTATGCTATATTGGCTGTGCAGCTACAGCACAGTACTCTAGTAGTAGTACACCACGACTGTTTGACAAATAACGAAGGAAAGATGATGAATTTTTAAAAAAAATATATTAATAGATTCCACTGAAGAAAGCACATCGAAAACTTGCCTAAGTGGCACTTAGTACATGTAGACACTTAGTAGAGCTTTCAGTGTTCAAAAAAGAACGACTTTCGTCTTTCAGCTGACTAGTCTTCAGCTTTCAAAGCATCTTCATGCGGGCCTATTAAAGTAATCATTCCTTTTGTGCAGCTCCATTCATGAATTCATTAGGATGATTAGAATTAATCAAAGTGTATCACATACAAAGAGATTGCAGGTATCCACACCACAATGTTTCACTGTGTTGAAGATCACCTGCTAATTCTTAAATGTGTTGTGGCCTACAATGTAGTACATACATTATAGTAACTTGGGCAATATATAGTTCATACTTCAAATAGTAGCAGACTGAAGCAAATGATGAAATTTTTATAACTATCTCCAATTTAAATATCTACCTGAAAAAAAAGTCTTTGTCGTTATCTGGATCTGACTTTTGTTTCTACCTGGAGAAAAAAACAATGTCATTTTTACCAGCAGTGTCTTTGCTACACAATAATAGGACTGAAGTCATCCTTCAGTTTTTTATTGTGGATACACTATAGGACACTAAACATGTAAAAATCATGTGATATAAATGTAACAGAAGGCATGCATTATTAATAATTCATATTTACTTGAGGACATAAGACAAATATTTCAGTCTTCAATTTCATCATTTCTGTATTCAGACTAAAAAGTTGAGAAGGTACAAACTTTTGTTGGAATGAAAATAGATTTAATAAAAATCAAAAGCAAATGTAAAAGTTCAAATAAAAAAGGAACTTAATTTTTAAAATACAATGTATTTGGTTTACTTATTTGAATGCAGCAAAATTTTTTCCTTGTAACTTTCTATTATTGTTATCAGTCATTGTTGACTTGATTGAAACAGAAAAATTTGAAATTCTGACCATCTTGTAACTTCATAAATGACAGTTTGTACATTTCTTCCATTTAGAAATTATTACATGTTCATAAACTTTTTCATTGTTTATTTGACTTAGACATCATCATTAAGCTGGCTGCATTTTTTTAAGTTCGCAAATACTAGCCTGTGTTTTTAATCCAAGTTTGATTTTTCACTTACTATTTAGATGTTTAAACGCAGAGAAAAACAGTCATCTGTTTTAGCAGGTCTCTGTTTAGACTTAGAAATTTTATACTCTTTACACAACTTTCCTTGGACATTTTGTGTCTTCTAGTAGAAGCTAACTTGGCCTCCCCCTTATTGCGTAGAGTTCCGTTTGCTATCATACTGAGTCTTGTACGGAGTGATTAGGCTTTCTGACATCTATTTGCAAGAAAACATTACAACTGAGCCATAGAACTTAGACTTTCAACCTCTGTGAGAGTCCAAGTAGTATCAATGTAGAGACTATTTCTCCAGTTTGTGTTGCTGTTAATACTGCTGCATGCCAAGAGAAACCATGAAGTCAC